CCCCACAGTGCCACCTTCACTACACCATCCCAACAGTGCCACCTTCACTACACTATCCCCACAGTGCCACCTTCACTGCACTATCCCCACAGTGCCACCTTCACTGCACTATCCCCACAGTGCCACCTTCACTACACCATCCCCGCACTGCCACCTTCACTGCACTATCCCCACAGTGCCACCTTCACTACACTATCCCCACAGTGCCACCTTCACTACACTATCCCCACAGTGCCACCTTCACTGCACTATCCCCACAGTGCCACCTTCACTAAACTATCCCCACAGTGCCACCTTCACTACACCATCCCCACACTGCCACCTTCACTACACCATCCCCACACTGCCACCTTCACCACACTATCCCCACAGTGCCACCTTCACTACACTATCCCCACAGCGCCACCTTCACTGCACTATCCCCACACTGCCACATTCACTACACTATCCCCACAGTGCCACCTTCACTGCACCATCCCCACAGTGCCACCTTCACTACACTATCCCCACACTGCCACCTTCACTACACTATCCCCACAGTGCCACCTTCACTACACCATCCCCCCATCGCCACCTTCACTACATGCCCCTCTCACCGCCACCTTCACTACATGCCAACCCCAAACCCCACCCCCACCCACCCCACCCCACCCCACCCCCACCCCCGTACCACCTTCATTACATGCCCCTCACATCGCAACCTTCACTATATGCCAACACACACACCCCAGTACCCCCTTCACTACATGCCACCCCCACCCCCCTAGTACCACCCGTACCATCTTCACTTCATGCCCACCACCACCACCTTCACTACATGCCAATTAACACACACGTCCCCCCCTCCCCCCCCCCCCCCCTTCACTACATGTCCCCCTCAGTGCCACCTTCACTTCATGTGTTCCCATCAGTGCCACCTTCACTACATGTCCCCCCAGTGCCACCTCACTACATGCCCCCCCCCCCCCCCCCCCCCCACACACACACACACAGTGCCACTTCACTATATACCCACCTCCCACCCCCCTTTATAGCCACCTTCACTACATGTCCGTTACTTTCACCGCTACCTTAAATACCCCCTCAACCGTTACCATGTAGACACTATGACGACCTTCTGTATTGATTATTCGTGAATACTTCACTATGCATATTAACGTGTACGTAAGTATAGAAGAGCAATATAACTTCCCCTTCGCTGCAGCAACAGCACTAACACGGTATGCTCCCATGATGAACTAATGGATAGGTCATTCATACCGCACCCTGGTGGTGTCTGTCCGTGCAGCAGCACGTCCACCATCCGTCTCGTGTCACAGGGAGGGGCCTTGGGGACGAGGAAGATGGTGTACGTCAACCAGCCCAGCTGCTCAGCTCATCTGATATAGTCGGCCTACTATTCACGGCTGACTTGGCAAGTTCTAGCTTGAGGAAATATTGGGCACTCGCTTAATCGTCCGAAGAAATGTGTTCCTTGTGAAGGTATAAACTTTGTTCAATCAGACAAGGTTCGATAGTTTTCCCATTCACAAATGTAGTCAGACACATTCCCCAGTTACAATCCTAATCAAAACACTTTAACACATGCACCCATATGCTAGTATTGGGCCGTTCATTGCATTTTCGGTTGGGTGGGGGTGGGTGGTGGTGGGTGGGGGTGGGTGGTGGTGTATAAACATGTAATCCATTGTACTGGTAAGCTGTAAAGCTTAGGGTCAATAAAGACTTGAATTGAATATGGGAGGGTAGCGATTATTTTTTCGAATAGTTGTTTCAGAAATGACATTTGAATGACGTAATTCCTTTCCTCAGTTTTAAACCAAAACAATGATTTGGCTAGACAAAATTGATGTCCTGATGAAAACAACCCCAAAAGGTCATTGCATGCGTGCTTTGAGGCAGTGACTGAAAAATATCCTTTCAATGACTAAAATCCCAGAAACCCCTACACCGAACTTAATCAACGTGTGTGACTTCCCTCCTCAAACGTACGTGCGTAACTTAGTGCCAAACCAGACGAAACATAAGCAACTTTGTGACAACCCTTCCCAAATACGTGTATAACGATTAATGACCCTGCCCAACCGTATAGGTTTAACTTTTAGTGGCGTCCCACCCGAACGTACATCACTCAGTGGCGTCCCCACTCAAACGACAGTAACTCCATGGCGTCCCTACCCGAACGAAAGTGACTTTTTGGTGTCCCTACCCTGAATTTAAATAACTTAGTGGCGTCCCTACCCGAACGAAAATAACTTAGTGGCGTCCCTACCCGAAAGAGAGTAACTTAGTGGCGTCCCTACCCAAACAAAAGTAACTTTTTGGTGTCCCTACCCTGAATGTAAATAACGTAGTGGCGTCCCTACCCGAACGAAAGTACTTTAGATGCGTCCCTACCCGAAAGAGAGTAACTTAGTGGCGTTCCTACCCGAAAGAAAGTAATCTAGTGGCGTCCCTACCCGAAAGAAAGTAACTCAGAGGCGACCCTACCCTGAATGTAAATAACGTAGTGGCGTCCCTACCCGAACAAAAATAACTTAGTGGCGCCCCTACCCGAAAGAAAGTAACTCAGAGGCGACCCTACCCTGAATTTCAATAACGTAGTGGCGTCCCTACCCGAACGAAAATAACTTAGTGGCGCCCCTACCCGAACAAAAATAACTTAGTGGCGTCCCTACCCGAACAAAAATAACTTAGTGGCGCCCCTACCCGAACAAAAATAACTTAGTGGCGTCCCTACCCAAACAAAAATAACTTAGTGGCATCCCTACCCGAACGAAAATAACTTAGTGGCGTCCCTACCCCAAAAGAGTAACTTAGTGGCGTCCCTACACTGAATTTCAATAACGTAGTGGCGTCCCTACCCGAAAGAAAATAACTTAGTGGCGTCCCTACCCGAAAGAGAGTAACTTAGTGGCGTCCCTACCCAAACGAAAGTAACTTTTTGGTGTCCCTACCCTGAATGTAAATAACGTAGTGGCGTCCCTACCCGAACGAAAGTACTTTAGTGGCGTCCCTACCCGAAAGAGAGTAACTTAGTGGCGTTCCTACCCGAAAGAAAGTAATCTAGTGGCGTCCCTACCCGAAAGAAAGTAACTCAGAGGCGACCCTACCCTGAATGTAAATAACGTAGTGGCGTCCCTACCCGAACAAAAATAACTTAGTGGCGCCCCTACCCGAAAGAAAGTAACTCAGAGGCGACCCTACCCTGAATTTCAATAACGTAGTGGCGTCCCTACCCGAACGAAAATAACTTAGTGGCGCCCCTACCCGAACAAAAATAACTTAGTGGCGTCCCTACCCGAACAAAAATAACTTAGTGGCGCCCCTACCCGAACAAAAATAACTTAGTGGCGTCCCTACCCAAACAAAAATAACTTAGTGGCATCCCTACCCGAACGAAAATAACTTAGTGGCGTCCCTACCCCAAAAGAGTAACTTAGTGGCGTCCCTACACTGAATTTCAATAACGTAGTGGCGTCCCTACCCGAAAGAAAGTAACTTAGTGGCGTCCCTACCCGAAAGAAAGTAACTTAGTGGCGTCCCTACCCGAAAGAAAATAACTTAGTGGCGCCCCTACCCGAACAAAAATAACTTAGTGGCGTCCCTATCCGAACAAAAATAACTTAGTGGCGTCCCTACCCGAAAGAAAGTAACTTAGTGGCGTCCCTACCCGAAAGAAAGTACCTTAGTGGCGTCCCTACCCTGAATGTAAATAACGTAGTGGCGGTTTTGCCCCAAAAAAAGTAACTTTGTGGCGTCAATACCTGCATGAAGGTAACTTAGTGGCGTCCCTACCTGAACGAAAGTAACTTAGTGGCGTCAATACCTGCATGAAGGTAACTTAGTGGCGTCCCTACCTGAACGAAAGTAACTTGTTGGTGGCGTCCCTACTTAATTAAAAGTGGTAGGCCTATCCGTAACATAGTGGCTGACCTATCCGAACGCAGGTTAACCGTGGCGTCAATAGTACTTATCATGAACATCAGATTTTTACAGCGGACTCACTCTAAACCCTAAATACAAGCTAAAAAACGTACTTTAAGCCTGCCTACCATACTACAAAAAAAAATATGTAAATTCGTGAGCAGCTTGGGCTCTAGCTGTTTCATAAACCAAGCGTCGCCCTTTGTCCAACATCAATCCTGTCAAATGAGGGTGGTTATCGCCGAGCTTCTCCCAACCGCAATATTGACTCATTGTGTTTTAGTCTGGAGCTCCAAGCTTGCATATCATTGGTTTATTTATCGGCACGAACACATTCCCGCGCAACTTGCTTTGTATATTCCCTTGCAGATATTGCTGACAGTGGATCCGCTTGTCACCCACGACAGACCACTTCGATACCGCGTCTGCAGTCAACATAGACCAACCTGTTACCTGCTTTGTCGCCTAAAACAAACACCTCTGTCAACAGATAAAGCAACATTTATATATTTCTTTTTCGAGAAATGTTTTCTTAGCACTGCATTGCGGTAATCATATTTATTGACTCAGGAAATGACGGACATAAATGTGCGTGTTTGTTCAATAACAATGAGTATATTGATATTCATAATCATATTCTAATTCGCCACATGTAATTCACAAGCTGGTCGGTTTAAATAAGTTGATGACTCAGCATATTTTGTAAATTATCACAGACTTGAATTCCGATTATTTAGTTATATTTCTGAACAAAATGGTTCCTCAGATTTGAATATCGTTAGCAATGAAACCAGATGTCGAAAATATACCCTACCTAGTTTATTACAGATTCAGATATGTATATATTTATTTGTATGATTAATTTATTAAGCATGGGTCTAAATAAAAACATTATAATATTCAAACGGGTCGAGACTGTATAGACACTTGTTTACAACAAGTCAACAATCTCAGGGAGTGACGTCATTTGCGTGTTATACATGTAGAACATCTGAATAAATTATCCCAGATTTTAGTGCACCGTGACCTGCTTAGCTTTGCGTAGGGCCAAATGCAGTTGCGTCGCGCCGATCACTCATGATAGTGTGTTACCCATAGTGCCTTGCGCGTACAACGTGAAGTAAAGAACAATGGCGGCCATGATGGTTTTAGCTTCTCGAATCTGTACCTGACGGTTTTTCACGTATCAACATTGTCACATGCGTTTAATCAGGTAAATAACGTGATAATTTTTCATCTATCGACTTATGGAGTGTATTAGATGTCAATAGGCACCTATGGCACCTTTCCTGTGACGCGTTAACTTACTGTGAAATCATTTGAACATATTTTTGTAAATTTTGCCTTTGAGAGGACCCACTCCGCGAAAATGTTTGTGGAATATGCATTTGTGAACGGATTTTAATCGAATTTGCGCCAAATTAATCCCTGATTTTTAATTCACCTTCTAGACCAACCTCGGGCGTGGATTGGAACAGACGAGGCACGTGATTGGAAAGGAATTTCTGCTCATTTCGCTTCATTGTTCAGTCTGCAGACGACGCCATGATGGAGCTCGTGTGCGATCCAAGATGAGCAAGGTACGACAGGGTGAATGTTGCCAGCTTGTGTCCCTCTTATTCATTTATGGTTTAGCTACCTATGTGTGTCGAAATTCATTTGTTTTGCTACCAGTTAGCACCAGGATTAGGCGTGACGCGACAAACTGCTTACTTGGCGGTGGTCGGCCATGATGAATTTTGACTTCGTCTGCAATGCTCTTCCAAGATGTGATTGTTTACTACTTTATTTTGGCGTTTTGGTGGATATTATGCTCATATTTAATTACTTCAATGTCTGTTTTCAACGTTACAGCGATTTTGGTTTTCTTGCCAGGGACTTCAGTTGAGAAATCTGGATTTAAACAAGCCTACCCCACCAAGGAATATTTCTGATATTTGTGGAGGGAATCATTGTTTACAACATATATTTGATCAAAATGTATCATAATTGATCGTGTTTCATGTTTATTTTACCTTCCAAGGCTTCACAGACACTGTGACTTTCAAATGACCTTGGTAGTTTTCATTTCTAAATGGGACCCATTTTTGCAAATTTTGACTTTGTTTCGAGTTAGACAGTATTGCTCTGCAATACTCATTCTCCCCTCTTCATCAAACCTGTTAACTTTGTGTTTTTATATGAAACAGTCCTTTAGGATGTTTGTTAACAGCTTTGCAACAATATTGTATGGGTTTAGTGTAGAAAACATGCAGTATTGTTGCATATATTGTATTGTCTTGCAAATTTGATGATATTCTGTTGTTTTCAAATGTTGTATTAATGTACTTCTAACATCTCTGTTCACTAAATGTTAATAAGTATGTGTGCACACCTTCTGAGAGCATTTACAGGCATAAGTAAAACATATATACCCTCTCCACTTATTACTTGCAACTTTGAAATAGTTAAAATGATGATCATATGTGACCCTTTGGTACATACATGTAGGTGTCTTCATTACACTTGTAATGCTTTAAAGTGTTTGAAAACTCAATGCAGCACACTGTACAGTGTGTACATTAAGCAATGTACTAAATAGCAGCAGAAAACTATAATTTGATCTGCAACTTTATACCTGTTTTAGATAGACTGTTGTGATATCATTAATCAGTGCACCTGTTCTTCACTATAAGTTCATGTTTTGTTTGTGTATTTTTGTGTGGGATGGGCCATTCAGAAGGACTAATGTCAAATATGCCAGTCTACAGAATGTCAACAAAATACCATTTACAAAAGAGACATTATTTGTCCCGTTTGTAGCACATTGAGGATAATAGTGATTTGTCACCTTCAGAATCTGATCATGCAGACCTAAATGGCAGCTGTTTTGATAGTGGTGAAATGGTTTTACTTGTAAATACTTAATTATGTCTTTGTTTACTTTAGATTCACTGATATGATATTAAAAAATATCCATTGCTGATACATTTGCTGATCTAGCTTTAGAAAATCTGTATATGTGTTCTATGTCTACACAACTAGTGTCCTATTTACTAAAAAGTACAAATCTTATTTATATGCTTAACTGCAAAGTTTTAAACATAGGAAGATGATCATAAATCTGTATATGCTAAAAATGGTAACGTGGCAACTGTTGAACTAAAGTAATGAGTACCATCAATGCACATATGCATAGGTTATTGCTATTTTCAGCATAGGGGTTGTGTAATTTAACACAATGCTATACTATTGAGATATCTGCAATTTTAGCTTTACCTTCAAAAAGGTTAAAATTATTATAGCCACAGTTATGGTGGACATACAATTGATCAATAAAATTTGGATAACATCCAAGTGATTTCCAATGAAAGGATTAGTATGGCAAAAGAGAAAATTGTTCTAGATAAGAACTATTATGTGTAACAATAACTGCAGTTGACTGTACATTCTTTATTTTCATACGTCATGTGGTAATTGTATGCATACACTACTTGAGTGGCACATTAATAAGCAGTGTATGTGATATTGTGTTTTGAACTAATTTTGAATGTCTTTGGCAAGAATGCCACAACTTATCAGAGATCTTGTCATTTACAATACAGTCCAATAGCCTTAATTGTCTTCTCAATCATTTCATACAAACTACTCTATTATCACATGTTCATATCATGTTTTATTACGTACACTAACCTCACTGGAGCCTTACCTGTTAGTACAGAGTGACATAATGTGATGTGCTATCTTTACTTCTTCCTTTGATCAAGTCTCTTTCCTTATATCTGCTATACTACGAGGAGTTTCATTGGTCAAAAGGTTTATTGTTGTCAAGAATTCATGGTACTGAACCATACAGGAGAAATCATTTTCATTGTGCTTTTTCTGTTCCTTATACACACATAGGGCGGTGGGGTAGCCTAGTGGTTAAAGCGTTTGCTTGTCACGCCGAAGGCCTGGGTTCGATTCTCACATGGCTACATTGTGTGAAGCCCATTTCTGATTTCCCCCAGTGTGATATTGCTGGAATATTGCTAAAAACAATGTAAACCATACTCGATCAATCCTCATACACATTGTCTGATGTTGCTTCAGGAAGCGAGAGATTTCATACCAGTAAGTAATACTATTTATATTGGTTGTAGCATAGGGGTTTTCTTCTGTGCAAATGGTGTGTTTAGTGTCTTGTTATGTTGTCAGAAGCAAGTCCGGTATTTCCATTTGAAGTCAGTTCCAAGAGATGTAATTTAGGGAGCATATAAATAGTCATGATTTGTAAAGGTTAAATTGAGTATATTGTCTAGCCCTTGTATCAGCAAATAAACATTTTGTTGACCTATAGCTTACTATGAGTACCAATGACATGTTAAGAGTGAATTATGCATTTTCTTTGCAGCTTAGTTGTAACTGGCTTAATAAGTTTTTAGTTGACATTTTGAGTATTCCAAGTCCTTTTCCCCTGTTACATTGCAGTGCATATTGTCTAGAGACTTGCTAGATATTTTCTAGAGTCTGTTGCTGAAGTTATTGGTTGCAATCTGCTTCCATATGTGTATTCTATATCAATACACATAGGGAACATATTAACCTGACCTATTTCATAAAGATGTTACACTTGAATTACATGTGCTGTACCTTAGTGTAGGCTTTTGTCAGTTTTCATTATTTATTCACAGATATTTTGCTTGAGATTGTAGAAATCTAAGGGAGATAACTCTGTCATGAACTAGATTTGGAGTTATAATTTTTTTTTATCACAAATGACTGCTTACTGTAGTTAGTGTTGCATTTGTTTTGTATGGTATTGTTGATATTTTCCCATACAAATGACTACATTTACTTTGTATTTACTCACATTTGCTTATTTTCTTAAAAATCTTGGATATGATGGGGACTTTAAATTTTTCACTTGAATCATGTTTTTTCCATTGATAACAATGGTCCTGGTCAAGGTCATAAGCACTGATTTGTAAGCCCATTTCACCATATATAATTAAGCATTTCATTATTTACAGGTATTTTATCTTTATTTCTCACAATGTACCTTGTTGGGTTTTCAGTTGTCCAAATAGAATTGTCAACAGACTTAGTTTTGCAGATCTGATGCAGGTTGAGGTTGTAATGGCAGATAATTAAGAGAACATTACTCATCATAATTAAAGGTGGACCATGTAAGTTTTGCTTAAAATCATTCATTCCATACATGTAGATAATAATTCAAGAACTTTCGACTTGACCTTTTTCGGACGCCAATGAGAAAACTTGTATTGTTTAAATCGACTGTACTTTCAGTGATCAGATATATAGGTTTAGCTGGCAACTTTTTCAAACTATATTTTCTGTTTTATTTATGCTGTTTATCCATGTTTTATTACGTTATTTGACATCATTATTACTTGCTTCAATTACTCAACTTAAAGTAACTGTGCAAACTACTAAAATATGGTAAATATTAGCAATGTTTTCATGATTTGACACTAAATATATACTTCTAGCATGTCAATAGGGCTACATTTTGGGTGGGTTTGCATAATTGTTTCATTTGAGATACTTGAATAAACAGCATAAGCATCTCATTTTGAAATGTTCTGCATCTCAACACATTATTATGTTTTATTTAGATTTTTTATTTCTGGGTGATTATGTAATTTTAGGAAAATATTCTCGGTGTGAATTAAAATTAGATTGCAATGACAATTATTTTATAAACTTTTTATTTAGTGATTATTAACATTATTTGTTGAACTGAAAGAAATTATCATTAGGTTGTGAAGACTGATGTAGATATAAGATTGATCGATTTATGTTTTTTATAACAGGATTATTTTAGTATCTGTACTGAAACACTGCGAGAGCACAAATTTCATGTTTCTAACTTTTTTCAATATATTTTGCAGTATGCATTGATTAATATATTTTGTTATGAGTAAAATACTATAACATGATAAGTTTAAGTGTTTACAGTTTCCTTGGTAGTTTGTGGGGTATCCACACAACCAATACCAAGAACCTTGTTAATTGCTTCTCCTGAATTTAGTTACATTATTGTACCAATTTGCTAATATATTTAAAATCATTTGTAAGCAGTATTTAATTTTTGTAGTAAGTAACAACCCATCAAATCATTACTATGTTGCAGTAGTGTGATGACAAGGAACCCTCAACCAACATGTTGAGTTTCAAACACAGTGCTTTCATTGGCTGAGGCCTTCCAATCATGATTGCGAGGTTAATGCAGTACATTTTGTAACTTAAAAGGCATGTCTTTATGCAAAATCAAATGTTCTGCTGTATCAAGCTATTTCAGATTGTATTTGGTTTTGACTGTGGTTATGATGGTTATAAGATCAGGGATCAATATTGGGTGTGATTCTACAAAGATGTTGCTTTACATTCACCAATGCTGCATTGATATAAAATCCAGTGCGAGAACTTCATTACACTTAGGGGTGGTGGGGTAGCCTAGTGGATAATTTGTTTGCTCATCACGCCAAAGCCTTGGTTTGAATCCCCACATGGGTACGATGTGTGAAGCCTGTTTCTGGTGTCCCCCGCCATGGTATTGTTTAAAGTGGTGTTAAGCCATATTCATTTACTCACTGATTACAAATGAGTGGTTGTGAAGTACTTCATACTGAACAGTTCCGTGCATATCATACCAGAACTGATCAGTTCCGTGCATATCATACCAGAACTGATCAGTTCCGTGCATATCATACCACAACTGTCAATAATAATAATAACACTAACACTGATTGGGTGTGAACAACACCTTGTACGTCTTTTGAGAGTCAAAGTTCCGTCTCCATGTCATGAAGACATAGGGTGAAAGGCGGGTGATTTAATAAAATCACATTCTTGTGAACTAAACTGAAAGACTGAATGTAGTGGTCAGCAGCTGCTGGTCATGCTGATAATGCTGATAATGAGAAGATGAACGCTATGAGAAGCAGTGTCTGCTCTGGCTTAAATTTTCTTGGGGTCACTTGGACCCATTCATCATAAAATTAGGGGTCCCAAACAAAAATGGAGGGGTCCCAAACAAAAATGGAGGGGTCCAGATTATAGCATCATAATATAACATAAACAACAGAACACAGTGGTTGTGAAAAATCAGAAATCTTTTCGCAACTGCAAAATATCAACAAAGAGGAAAAGTGAAGAGAAAGGTTCACATCAGGGCACATCCTGCTCTCATGACCAAGAGGTTTACATTAAGGGACAAACAATTTCTTAAAATGGAAATTTGATATTAATGAATATCTTAACACAAAATTATCCATGTTAATGTCTAACTTAGTAAATGATCTACCAATGATTTGAAGTTTATGGATTCAGTCAAGTTCAATGGCTGTTCTGATGCTACTGTACTGAGTAGTGAGTTCATGTTGTAACTGTGACAATTACATCAATGAGTCATGACATAACTGGCAAATTAAACGCTTTTTTAGTAGGAGTGTGTTCAGGATTCAGCATTTCCTTGATAAATCTGGTCAACATATTTCAGGTGCTTTAAATGTTTAAACATGTCAGTTACACTGATAACTGTTCTGGCAAAATGTGTTTTGCAATTCTTAATATAACTAATATAGAATGAGTTGTAAACAGCTGGATAAGTCTGTTGTAAAATAACTTAATATTGGAAGTATGATATGCATGTGATTGCTTTTACGGCCTTCTATTCAACATGGGTCACCACTGAGGATGATGCAATCAAGGGGAGAGAACTTGTAGACAGCTAGACACTTGCTTGATAAGTAACTAATGTTGTATACATGTAGTATACAGGTTAATGGTCATGTGCGAGAAAACAGCAGAATAATTTTAGTTCTATTGTTAAAAGTGTTTCAGGTTAATTACTCCATTATTGTAATTTAATCACCTAAATAGGTTAATAAATCTTCTTGCTTCAGGATTGTGTTAAATTATCATGACTAAGGACAGTATCAAACCACATGTCTAACTGGATATGTTTTGGTTGCGTGATCATTATTGATGGCTTGTTTGATCAGTTGTATTTGGGGACGTTTCTGATATGTGAAAGTGGAATGGCCGTTATGAACATTTCACTCGTACATAGTCCATGAACCTGATAAAGCAAGATAATAGAAAAGAAACTCTAAAATATGTTGGATAGTTAGAAAAGTTCTCTTTTATAGATTAAATCCTTCACCCATCTTTCTCTCGCATGTCAGTTATAATCACTACCTGAAGGTAATTTTGTTCTAATTAAATATGGTTGATATAAAGTGTTTGTTTGAAAAAATGCTTTGTCTCATGGCATTCTATGATATATCTTTTACCCTTATGTTGGTATTGCATGCTTTTCATCTGTTTCAGGTAGCTGTTAAACTCATGTCTACATTGTGTTCACCAGATTTCATTTCATGTCATTTTTATACTTTTGTAAAAGAAGGTGTTGGAAATCTAGTGACACCTTATAATGGACAGATTATAATGTTCCCCTGAATAGATCCTTCACATGTATATATATATATGCATCTTTAAATGCATGCATACAAACATGTGATGGATCTGTTCAGGGGAAGTAACTCTTACCTTCCCCCCATGACTTTGATTTGTTCTTTGTTGGACAGACATGTTTCTTTGTCTGCTGAAAGGTTTCCTCGTCAAACAAGTTTTGAAGATGAAGATCTTGTTTCTCTTTCTAAATCTTTCAAGATTTGAAAATGGTTTTGAATGATCCTGGGTTATTTTGTCTGTATTTTCATAAACTTTGGACTTAGAAAAATTTCGAATCATTATTTTTTAGTATATCTTTTAATTTTTAGTTTATTTCTCTGTGTCTTGAATTGCTTCCATTGGACAGTAATTACTAATTCACTCAATTAGGCATTTCAGCATTTCAGATGTCTTGGAGGCATAGTTAATTTTTGTGTTTTAGCCCTAAATTTTAAGTTGGTTTTTTTTAACCTTAAACCAAAGATTACAAATTTGTATTAAAGTAACATTATAACTGTTGGACTACTGCTTTCTTTCTCGATATTGTTTGTTGTGCATGTGCTCTGTATAATGGACATGGAGACAGTTCATTTCAGTCCGGACGCCGTTGAGATATCATCACGGTTTTTAGACCAGTCGTGCTTCACTGACATGTCTGCTAAGAAGTCATTACTGCGTTTAACATCCACTATATGATGCAATCGTATGATAAAGTAAATATTATCTCAGTTGTTAAAATGAAATCTTGTGTTTCATTGAGATTTACAGGCAGAACTGTTTCACTCATGTGTCATATGGGAGAATGATTGTGGGTGGTGATGCAGAATGAAATCACCTTAAAAACAGGATAATTGAATGTGGACCCATCCTATTTATATTTATTTGTGTTGTACATGGTTTCACAGTTTCAACAATATGTGTAATTTGTGATTTTGAGGATGACGCCTTTTAGAAAAATAGAGTTTTTGTTGGCTGTGGTTAATGGGCTGCCGCAGCCTTATCAGCTTTGAAAATATTTAATGTTTCCAAACCTTCACTTTAAGAAGGGCATTAGACAAGTGACCAAAGTATCTTTTGACTCGAAGGATGTTGCATCATATTCTGAATAAGAAATAAAATTGAATTTTGGACAACATAATATCATTACAATGTTACCAAGTTTCCGTGTTTTAATGAATTTAGATGCACAGTGTCTTGAATATTGGCTCAGTACATAACAGGACCTCTATTATGCAACTAGTAATAAGGATACCTGTGGACTGTAAGTTAGCTTTGAAATCATGTTGACAGGAAGTTTCATTCATTAAAAATGTTGCTTCTTGGAGAGAAATGTAATTTGTTTGGTCCTTTCTTGTCTTGATTATCTATTGTAACAAGATTTTCGCTGATGTAGAGTTAAACGGCTTTGTTAATGGTGTTGTTGTATGTCAAATTATCCATAAGGTCTTCAGAATAAGCACAGTTTTAATTTGTTGTGGCGTGATGGACTACTCACCGATAGATAGATTAGGGTTTCCATTTTACTTACGTCATTAACATTCACACAATTTATTCATTTAGTTATTTTTCAGTACATCAGTGATTATTATGCATATTTTATTTTCAGATTGGAATATCCGGTCTTACAAAATTTGAAAACCCTGTGTTTGGGTCAGGCACCTCCTCCACCACTGCCACCACTACCAACAACAACACAAGCAACAACACCAGTGCACTGACAACAACATCTTTACCACAGACAGACTACCTGAGTGATGCCAGCTACAAGCACACATTGCCTCAATTGAGTAACGACAAACTGGAGAACGACGAAGACAGTGGGTCAGGGTCAGATTCGGGGTCAAGGTCAGTTGATTTTTTGGCTTGTAGTTGATGTAAATATCAGAATGTTGTAAGCTTATTGCTTTCAAACAACCGGCCTCAACATATCTTTTGGCAGAGAAGACAATTCCATATAGTTAACAGTTTGTCTGTTATTGTTATTCAGCCAAGTGCCGAGACAATTCAGTTACCTGGTTAGGTTTAAGCCGGGAGTTCTTTCAAAGTCCTTTGGCAGCAAATTGAAACTATGTTTTCTTCCCAAATTGCTTATTATATATACAAAAACCTGTGAAGATCTGGGTTAGAATTGGCCTTCAGCGACTCATCCGTGTCCTAAGAGGCGACTAACAGGATCGGGTGGTCAGGCTCGCTGACTTCATAGATGAATGTTATCATATCCAAATTCTGTGGATCAATGCTCATGTCAATCACTGGATTGTCTGGTCCATACTCGATTATTTACAGACCACCATCATATAACTGGAATATTGCCGACAGTGGGGTTAAACAACAAACAATAATAGACGAAGTCTCTGTGTATTAGCATTCCCATTTATATTCAGTTCAGTTATGAAAATTGTTTTAAACCCTTTCTTATTTATTAACCTTGTTATCATTGAAATACAAGTACTGTGTACAAAGTTAAAACATTTGTTGTGATTATAATAACCTGAGAAATTTCAGTTTCCTATGCAGGAATTCTATCAGCTGAAATTTAGTTAGTCATTGAAGGTTTATTCCATATCTTTCAGTGGGTCAAGTTCTGGTTCAGATTCTGATTCAGGTGGATCCAAGTCTGAAAAGTCCAAGAGTTCATCAGAGTCGAGCAATCAGTCCGAAAATGATCAAGAGTCTCATAGTGAGGTTAACAAGAGTGACAGTGATTCCAAATCAAGTAGCCAATCAGAGAGTGAAGATGAATCTCCAAAGAAACACGAGCTAGAGGACCATAATGAACATGATGACCATGACGACCATGACGATCACGACGATATCGATGATCGTGATGAGGACTCGAAGGAGTCACTCGGGGACACCGATTCCCAAGATGCCAGTTCAGGCAAGAGCAGATCCAAGAAGGAGCGCTTAAAGCAGGTCAGTGTATGACTAGATAGATAAATGCTAAAGTATTGATCATACAAGTTTTATTGCTGTGAATAAGTTCCTATGTGTGCCAAGGCCAAAATTCCTGTCTGCAAAAGAATACATGTTTTCTCTTACTCTGGACAGCCTCCGTGGCCTAGTGTGTCTGCCCACCCAGAGAACATGAGGTAATAAGACAAGGGCTGGTTGGCATGGAGTCAGTATACTGTGTCTGAGTGGGATATCCATGTTTAGCTGCAACGTATCTCAGTGGGCTAGCACTGTGAAACTGGCATAAATCCAGACTAGTAAAAGCAGGAATTTTTTAATTTTTTTATTCATAAATGTTATGTGAAATTGTTCTTTAAACTTCAAAATCATGCGAAAATGTAATAAGAGCAAAAGTCAATCAAATATCCCAAATTGTGAAACTATAAAATATTTATTGAGTATATTATTAATATATATGCATCATGCTGTTGCAAATACTTGATAACATTCAGGAAAGAATGAATGTTATATTGAAACAAAATGTGTCATGCCCATTTTCGTGACCCTGTTGTGGAAGATGGTCATTGCGATATCTCTTGACTAAGAATCTATTATGTCAGACAAAAATATCATGGTTAAAAAATAATCAGCATACCTCAAAGTTAGATTAATCATATTTTCATATTCAATGTAACATCAAGGGGTGATCCTTGTAACAACATAACTTCAAATAAAAGATACTGAGAAACTTGCATGTGGCATGTTAATAATAATATGTCTACGACCGTTTCCGGGTCACAGGAGCATGCACGTTCAAACAGATTTGATAATATGACAATTATATAGTCAGTTATTGATGATTATTGATACTATGTACTGATTTGTGTTTATTCTCAGTGTGAAAGAAGAATTATTTCCAAATTCACTGTAAATATTTATTAACAAAAGATTATCAGCAGACTACCCGTCTGTGACATCACATCCGGTGACCTTTTCACTTACTGAAAATATGAAAAATTACAGTTTCATTTCCGTTTTCCTCTCATCATATTTAACTGAAAATGACAAATGCAACACTTGTTAAATAAGAAGATTGTCACCTTTTGCCAGTTTAGAAAAATTACAGACTTTATGTCCGCTTTACCTCTGTATGTTTGAAAATGTCAATATATTTTTTAATGATAAAGTGTATTTTTCTATCGGAAATAAGGGGGCACGGGAGGCCCAGTCATCTAAGGCGCTGCGATTCGCCAGCAAGAATTGCGTCCCTTGGGCACTCCAGAAACCTATGATTGTGGGTTCGAATCCCGGTTCGCCCAGATTATGTTTCTAGGTTTGTCAGCACCATACCCGTGCTAGTGGGTTTCACCGAAGTGGTAAACGTCTGAGACCAGCATCACTTCGGGCTTTCCTCCAAAAATTAAGCTGACACGCCGCGATATAACTGGAATACTGTTAAAAGCAGCGTTAAACCCAACTCACTCACTCACTCACTCACTATCGGTAATAAATGTACGAAATATTGGATCATTCGTCCCATGTTTAATGACGACTCAACTGTTTGAAATCACCCACCCCATTGCACCTCGCCTCAGAAAAAACATTTCTGGTGTCCCCCACCCATGATATTTCTGGAATATTGCTAAAAGCGAAGTAAAACCATACTCAGTCGCTGGGTTTCCAGAGGCTATTATTTACAGGCCATGATAACATTATTATCATCGACTTCTGTGTCACACACACAATCAGCCATTGGATCAGTGAGAAAGGGAATCTCATAGATTTATCCTTTTGACAGTCTTAGGACTGTTTTCAAAATTGATGTTTGCTAATTTTTCAGCTATTAAAATGTCCTGTGGTTCAATGCTTTTTTTAATGTAAATCTGATTTTTGACTTTATCTATTTCTTTATCTGTGGTATATAAACCATACGGTTCTCTTTGTTGTGTTATACTTATGTATGTTGATGTTGTGTTGTTGTTTTTCCAGGAGTTGTGGAATGAGGAGCCAGATCTGTATGGAATTCGTAGGTCTGCAAGATCCAGGAAAGAGCCTGTTCGGTACAATGCTGCCAATGCTGTAAGTTGGCTGTTATTTAACTAGATGCTAGATGGGAAACTTTCTGCAATTTTTATCCCCCGCCCAACGAAGTTGGTGGGCGATATAGAAAGGGGCTCCGTCCGTCCGTACGTCATGTTTCGTTTCCGGAGCATAACTCAGAAACTGTTCAATATTTTTTCATGAAACTTTGCAGGTCTGTCAGGTACATGCTGAACTGGTGCCTTTTGCTATTTAGAAATTTTAGAAATTTTTATTTTTTACGTTTCCATGGGAACAAGATGGACTTTGGTTCCAAACTCTCCTTTTTTTTTACAATTTCCATGACAAGTTCCACCTCGGTTAAAAAAGGTTAGGGTTTGTTTAGATTTAATTATGTCATAAATTCTGCAACAGGGGCGGGGGATATAGCCATGTTAGTGGCAAACTCTTGCTCGATTTTTTTGTGTATCTAAAAAAAGAGTTCAAGACAAGCTATGAAAGTCAGGTCCTCATCATAAATAATGTACAAAATTTGGAGACCTTGTCATGATATAAGTGTTAAAGCTAGAGCATCATCAGATTCATGTTATCATGATATTGTGGCACATTGTGCAAGTAAGCTGGCACTGTACTGGCCTACCCCTGAATTGCAGAAGTAATTGTACAATCAGTGTGACTTCAGTGTGACTCACAGCTGGTTCCTCTTGTGTTTTAGAGTGACAGTGACGAGGACCACCCTCGGTCCAAGAGGAGAGGAAAGAGGAAAGGGTAGGTGTTCTTCACTCTGTAACAAGACAGAAGATAGTTAGGGGGCCCCAGGTTAGAGCGCCATCGCTTATTGCTTGTTTTGGATGGCCAGACTTTGTGACTCGGTTGATCGCATGTCATCGTACCCCAATGGCATCAGACATTGCTCATTTTATGAGGTGGTTGGTTTGGACCAGGGCTGATTATTAGACAGGCTACTTTGTTATAGCTAGGATTTAAGAACTGCAGCTTAAGAAAACAAACACTAGTGACACACTCTTGTTACCTGTCTCATCAAGTCCTGTTTGTCCTGATACATTATACATTGTTATCTTTGTTAAAACAGTGAGAACTTATCACCAGATATATTGGGTTAATAATCTTTAATAATTCTCCTCCATCCTACGAATGTGGGGTCCGGTATTTTTAGTACCTATTCTTCCATCTCATGTCATATTCATGCCATCATGTTTGTATATTGCAGCTGTACTTTACTGGTGTATGTAGTAATCTCTTGTTTTCAAGTATTAATTGAACACTGAATGTTGCAGATCAACTGATTGGGGTGGAAGTGATGACAGCAATGAGGCCAGCTCAGGGGACTACAAACCAAGCAAGATTAATACCAAGTAAGGAGAATTATTGTCACATTGGCAGTATGTTTGTAGGGTAACTTTCTTTTTGTTTTTTAAGCAAATGATAGTAGCTAATGATTGGCCACCTGTAAAGTTTTAAATCCACTGAATATGACAACAAAAGTAGAAGCAAGATGTCTCGAATCAATGTGAATGAGTGAGCTTGAGTTGGGTTTGACACCGCTTTAAATGGTATTCCATTAATATCATGGTGGGCTTCACACACTGTACATTGTATGTCGTGTGACAAGCAAAGGCGTCAACCACTTGCCTCCTCCTTCCTCTCTCTCTCTCTCTCTCCCCCCCCCCCCCCCCCCCCCCCCAAATGAATAAGAAATAAAGCCTTCAGTCTTTTTCAATGTCTGTTAACCTCTGTTAAAGTTTACTATTGTATGATGGGGTTGGTACTTGCTGTGGTGGCACATGGACGCGTGTCCATCGTACATGCCACAAATCAGGCAGAGTTAAGCAACATTTGTCGTGGAGGGTAGTTGGATGGGTGACCCATGTCACGCAGCTTTGCTCCTGGGAGTTTCTAAGGCTTTGGTTCTGCCCTGCATTTAAACACAAGTTGTGGCATCTCTGTGAGCAAGAAATTTTGTCCAGAATATGCCTCTTGTTCACCCAGCGGGACGGTGGGGTAGCCTTGTGGTCAATGAGTTTGCTTGTCACAGCTTGTTCGATTCCCCACATGGGTACTATGTGTGAAGCCTATTTCTTGTGTTCCCCGTAGTGATATTGCTGGAATATTGCTAAAAGCGGTGTAAAACCATACTCACTCTGTTCACCCAGCATTGAATGGGTACCCGGTAGGATGACTATTAACCAAGTGCCTTATGAGGCATCTTGGGTTGTAAACTCCCCAGGGATGTAAAACATGAAAATCAAGTGCACATTTATCCATTGTTTGGGGTAATAATGCAACACTTTGAGCATGCTTTAGGGCATGGATGTGGCACATTATAAATATACTCATCATTGCTGGTTTCTGGACAAACACAACTCATTGGTACTCATTGAATCTCTCTGTAGTCGGAGAGTCCGGATCAAACCTGTGCGGAGACCACCTCGAGGCTCAAAGTCTCCACGGAAACCAACCGGCACAAGGAAGAAAAGGTTATCATCGGGGTCATCTACTGGGAGTGAGGAAGACTCGGATGAAGACAGGCGACATGTGGCTCGGAGGGCTGTGGCCTCAAAAGTCAGGTGAGGAGATTTTTTATCCTTTGCCAATACATTTTAATGACATGTTTTAGGGGGATTTATGGAAGAAATCATCAATCAAGTTAACTTGAGTTCAGTTTTATGGGTTACTTTCAACCAGTGGTATGATGTGCACTGTTGCATGTCAAATATGTCAAATTACTTCTTTCATGATTTTTTTAAGCTGCCAGTTTTGATGAACTCAAACTTTACATTCCGGGCAGTTTTTTGGGCTACATTCTTGTAAATTTCAATTTGATTAATTGATGTCTAGGTAGGAACCATTTCCAGACAAATAACTCGGCTGTTCTACAGGTTGAACTTTATGTATCCAAGACATAAGAAATCAAGTTGAAATCACCATTTGTGGCACTTCAATCAAGTTGAAATCACTTCAAGCTGTTGTTGAATTGTTATTTTTTATATGCCATAAAATGAGGTTTAATTGTGTTGGAACATTCAGCATGTTGATTCATTGTTGTGTTATTTTGGGGAATGAGACGAATAGTTTATAGTTCACCCTTGGTGGTATGTGGTTATGTGGGAAGCATGAAATCAGAATGCCCAACAGGTATCCATTTTGTTTTGTTTAACGCTGCGCTCAGCAAATATTCTAGCTATATGATGGTGGCCTATTCAAATTTTAATCTGGACCAGATAGTCTGGTGACTGACATCATAGCATGCAATGAATGAAATACTATCACCAAGTCACCATGCCTGACCACATGATCCATTCAGTTGCTTCTTATGACAAACAATGGTTTTGGGGACCTGGAATCCCCAAGGGTTGACACAGTGTGCTGCAATTGTACCGATGAGTTGATTACTTTTATGGTCACTTAAAAAAAAGAAAGAAATGTGTATTTTCGAATAAGTATAGCTTCATGTTAGGCTTACTGGCTCACACCTTGTTTTGTTGTGAGTAGCTGCATGTGTATTTGTCTGGCAGACTCGATATGTATTTTCAGAGTGATTAATTGGTTTATTTTATTGGTTTATATTTTTAGGTTTACAAAGTCAATTGTTTTGCAGTTCTTATTTTAACTTTCAGTATTCCTTGAGTATGATTTGGTTCTCATTAGTGGGTAAATGTATTTATCATATGTCAAATATAATGACTGCGTTAAAGAGAACAATTCTCTATAGCAGGAACAAAACCTCTCGTGTTTCCAAGCGCAAGTCAACTAAACACGTTAGGTAAGATAGTAGTAACTTTATTTGTGAACTTACTCTTGAGAATTTCTTTACTTGATGTTGTATTATGAACCAAATATATCCTTTGTGTACAGTTTTATATTCTGTCTGCTGACATAGTCCAGGGGAGTCTGGCATGACCTTCAGTAATCAATTTGTTTATTGACATCATAATCTGCTTTTTATCTAGCAACTTTGCAAACACATCAACCTTCGTGCGTCTTTGTTAGTGATTTCTTACCTGAAGACAAATTCATCTACTTTGGCCTTTTGATGTTTTGAAATTTCACATCATATCGTATCATTTTAATGGAACAAGATGAAATATTACTGATACCAGAGATGTGCTAGTTAAACAGAGCAGGACACATGCATATCTTCCTGAAATATTTCACATATTTTGACAAATTGATCTAGCTGCCTGTAATAGAGTTTATACAGGTATTTCTGTTTTCACCTGTACTGGAATCACTAATGAATACTATTGAAAGCAAACCTTGGTTGATATCTGGCGTCAAATTATTATTGAATATATCATTAATATCAATAAACAAGTTAAGAGGACTAGTGCCTTTTTCCCTCTGATTTTTTCATCTGTCTTTTGTGAAATTTTGCACAAGATCTAGACTTATGATTCAATTAATATTGAATTAAATTACTTCAGAAGTTCACTAAGATGACTCGATAATTGATTGTCTTGAGTGACGATCTCCATCTGATTGTTTTTGGGCTGAGTAAACTTGCTACTATGCTGCTTACCGTTTTTTGACATCTGGCACTTAGCATTAAGATCTTTGTCAGCTGTTGTGAAGTTTTGCTTTATGTGTATGAAGATATGAAGGTGTTGCCTACAGCCTTAGAGATTTGTCTTTTTACCATTATTTGACAAGTCCTCAGAGTTAGTAGCTATTCCTGCTTGAACAAGACAATAATGTTAACTATGATAACTATTTTCTGTCGGTTTTATTCAGTAGCAAAATTGAAGCATTGGAATTGGTTCAGAAACATAGCCTTCAAATGTTACTAGTCATGAGGACTACCAACACTCGATATTTGCTTGTCCTTGCCACAATTTAGAAGTCTGAGGCTTGCAGACTAGCATGAATTTCAAAGGCTGTGTCTGGTGTAGTGGTGCACTGCTCTTTCCCTAGCACAGACATCTTTATCTGCATGGCTGCAGTGATCAGCAGGAAAGTGTTACAATGTGTAAATTTGAAATTTCTTCTTTTTTTTTATCACAGTAATTCATCACAAGGTTGAAAGTCTTGTTGAATTAAAGTCTTCAGTTTGAAATTAAAAATGGAAGTTTCTTTTACTGTTGAATGGTTTGTTATACCTTTATTAATGTTGTTAATATGTTGGTGTTTCTTTATGGTCGTTCATGTTGTAGTGATAGACACAATATGTCAAACAAAGATATATGTCTGTAGTGTGTGCTTTTTTGTTTAGTTACAAGGAAGACACCGATGCTTCAACAGATTCGGACGACATTATGGAGGTGACGACCAATGCTGTTGAAGACGCAGAGGAGGACAGTCGGGAAACCCTTGAAAAGGTCCTCGGCACAAGATTAGGTGTCAAAGGAGGTAAGGACTTCACAAATTGCAGTTAATAAACACTAAAGATTCTTGACTTTAAAACAATTACTGCTTTTATTTACAGTTCATTTGTTACACTGTTGAAAGTTTTAATTCAATTCAGTGAAAAATTTGAATGTGATGTTGGTAGTCCTGTGTAATGATGTATTTGTTGTTCAGTGTTCCAACTGACCAAAATAGTAAGAATTTCTTCTATATTTCAAATACTGCCTGTGAGGTAATTGTTTGTGTTAAATAGTGAAGGTACACTGCCGGTGAGAAGGGATGGTGATGGGTGGTGTGAGCTTGGCAGGAGGTTTGAATGAGCGGGAGAGAGGTCATGTCCACTGGCTCATGTCATGTCATGTCATGCTATGCTCACTCATGCTGTTGTGTATTTGTTGGTAGTCGCATTGGGCTGGGGGAAATGTCATGTGCTAATGCTTGTTTCATTTTGATTGTTGCCAAATTGTCAGAAATCAGTTTGGAGTTAAACGACTTGCAATTTTGGAAATAGATTTTGACATGGAAGATGGGGTTTTGTGTTTTGCTTAATGTTTGTACTGACATAAATATTGTTGAATTGTAGATGCTATCTTCCTAGCTGACACTGTTCAGTGAGAATATCCCAATTGCTGAAATGTGTGGATCTAAACTGGTGTTAGCACAAACGCGTATGATAGCTGTGAATTGGGTTGTTTTGTGTATGTTTCATAAAGCTAGCTGCCTGCATGCCAACCATTGTCATGGCAACCTTCCATCACTTGTCATTGTCCTGACCCACCTGCCTGTATTTTCATCTCCTCATGTTGCAGTTCACAGTTTCAGTGGTATATGTGCAGCTACAGACAGTTGTTGCTTCGTGACTTATAGCAGCAAAGTCAGCCAACTGCTGGTGTAAATGTGTATGCTATTGATAATGTTGCTGTCAGTTGATGTAGATTTCACTGCAATGTCTGCAAGCTGTACACGTACCAATATGTGCGAATTTCATACTGTGGTGATTCATGTGCGTCACATGTTCGTAGAGCTGAGTACTTGTTCTAGCATGTCGTTCAGGAACTGTTTGTTGGGAGTAGCAAGTGGGCCTTAACTCAACAGTGAACCATATGAATCACCTTCATTGCTTTTCATGATTTCATGAATCACTCAGCTGTGTTGTACAGGAAGGTCAATAATCATGATTCAAAGAGACAAGAGACAAAACATTGACAGGAACTAATGTTTTAATCCACTTGTCCTGTTGATGACATATTGCAAAACCCTTTAAAATGGCAAATTTTTACAAGTCCTTATGATACTGTAACTGTTCTGCAATTTGGCTAAGACCATAGGACGAGTGCCAATTTCTATCACTACAAACCCATTAATGCTAAAGAAAATGAAATAGAACAACTACTTGAAAACTTACAAAACCCTTAATGTGTGTAATATGTTAATCACATTAATGTTATGACAATATGTTCTCAGGCAAGGACTTGTGGAAAAGTAATAAAAAAAACAATTTGCAAAATGTTAAACATAGACATGAAAGTAAGCTGTTCAGAGTCAGAATTTGCAAACTATTGTTACCAAGCAAAAATTCATGCAGTGGTGTTTGGATAAGAACCAAGACTACTGAATATTATTTTTCATACCTTGACAGGGGTAGAAACTAACAGTTATAGTCCACTAGTCCTTACAATGATAACATATAGAAAAGCCCTTAAAATTGGCAAATTTCTACTAGTCCTTATGATACCTAAACTGTTGGACAGATTGGCAAGGACTATAGGACTGGTGCTAATTTCTAGCGCTGCCTAGATGACTAAGGGCGCCTACCTTGACTGACAATTGTACAACACAGCAATGATAGCAGTAGTGTATGAGTGTAGTAGAGTATGGGTGTATGTCGTGCTTGATGTTACGTGGCTACCGTTCACTCTTTAGCTACAGGCAGCAAGACCACAGTGTACAATATAGCCACTTGTGGTTATCCTAATGCAGGAAGCAACCCTCCCTCAGCCACAGCACTGGATCAAACTGAGGAAGGAGAAGTCAGTGATGGCACGGAGAAGGTGGTTGTCAAGGAGATGCAGTATCTCGTCAAGTGGAAGAACTGGGCACACATCCACAACACGTGGGAATCTGAGGCCAACCTCCGGGAACAGAAGGTCAACGGCATCAAGAAGCTGGAGAACTTCAAGAAGAAGAATGAGGAGATAGGAGAATGGTATAAAGCTTATTATTGCTGTGGTAACCATTGTGGAAATATATTTGATTTGTCAAAAACCTTCCATAACCTGGACTGACGAGGGTAGTTAGTATTCTTACTTTTCAAATCTTATTAAAAATATGTAGCCTATTTTTGCTCTTGTAATCATGGCAATCATTACTGCATTAGAAACTCTGTAATAAAATAAGAACAACTTTTAAATAGAAATGTACTCATCCAGAGGACAAAGAATTGCAGTCTGGATGGACACCTTGAACACTGGGTAGATATGAGAGATTTTACACTACAGTCATCATAGTACAGGCATGCCAACATTTCAGGCGGTTGACGGCATCTCCAGAAGACATAGAGTACTTCGAGTGTCAGCAGGAGATGATGGATGATCTACAGGGGCAATACAGGCTCTGCGAGAGAATAATTGGTAGGTGCCCATAACGGTGATGTCTGTGTCTTGAGTAATATTGGTCTTGAATCAGGATGGATTTAAAATTAAAACTACTACCTTAAGACGAGTGTCGTATAACAGATTTAATCCAATTTGTTCACTTGTTCTTTTCTTTGTTTTGAACAAAGTGCACTGTCACTAGAGACAAGCTTGTGAGATTAGGAATGTTATATATTTTTAAGTTTGATTTAGTGACTGTCCCATGTGCTACTGATAGTAGCCCAGTGGTCTGTGTACACTTGTGCTTTAAACCAATCCCAGCATCAGTATCATTCGACAGCCCATTCTCGGTGTCACCATCCATGATTTTGCTGGAAAAGGCAGCATTAGTGCATCTCAGTAGTTTAAAGAACATTTCGGGGCCGTCGGGTAGCCTAGTGGTTAAAGCGTTCGATCGTCATGTCGAAGACCCGGGTTCGATTCCCGACATGGGTACAATGTGTGAAGCCCATTTCTGGTGTCCCCCGCCATAATATTGCTGGAATATTGTAAAAGCGGCGTAAAACCATGCTCACTCACTCAAGAACATTTGAAGTACAGCATTGTAATTATTAACTGTCAGTTTTATACATATGTATGGTCATAAAGAGCTGATAATTTGTTTGTATTCTTCCAGCTCACTCTAACCAGAAGCAAGCCAATGAGCACAATGGTTTCCCCGACTATCTGTGTAAATGGCAGGGGTTGCCATACTCAGAGTGTACATGGGAAGATGGGGAATTAGTGTCCAAGCACTTCCAGAAATTTGTAGATGAGTACCATGCAAGGAACAAGTCACAGCGTACACCCTCCAAACTTAGTAAGGTAAACAGTGCTTTTGACATGCTACACTTAGTGGCTTTTTTCTTTTTGAATCTCATCAAAAATTGTGGAACTTTGTTTTTGTCCTATAAATCAATTTTGATGAAAAAAGTTTTGAAATGATTGAGGGTGAGATTGAAGGGTTCTCTTCACTTATATGTTCTAGGTACTGAAAGTCCGTCCAAAATTTTTACCTTTAAAAACTCAACCCAAATATCTTGGTGGCAGCGAGCACCGAGAGCTGCGGGACTACCAGCTGGAGGGCCTCAACTGGCTCATCAATGCCTGGACCAAGTAGGTGAACCACACAACTACACCACCCACATGTCTCCTATGTGTTTACTGAATGCCTCTCATGTGTTATAAGTTTGTTTGATTGTTTGTTTGTTTGTTTGTTTAAAGCCACAGCAATATTTTCAGCTATATGCAAGCAGGCCTGTTCATGATTTAGACTCGACCAGATAATTCAGTGTTAAACATGATGAGCAATCCATCCATGAAATCGAGATGCAATGACATGCAATCACCCAAGTCACTCAAGTCACTAAGCCTGACCACCCTGTCCATTTAGTCGCCTTTTATGAAAAGCACAGGTTGCTGGGGACTTATTCTAACCCGGAATCCACCCTCCGTGGTCTAGTGGTAGAGTGTCAGCCCGGAGAGCGGAAGGTCCGGGGTTCGATCCACGACCGCGTCATACCAAAAGACGTTAAAAGATGGTACTTGTTGTTACCCTGTCTGGCGCTCGGCATTAAGGGGCTAAAAGAAGGACTGGTTGGCTCGGAGTCAGTATACTGTGTCTGAGTGGGGTATTCATGTTAAACTGCAGCATGATATCTGAGTGAGCTAGCACTATAAATCGGCATCAGTCCGAGTAGTACAAGCACACACACACACACACACACACACACACACACACACACACACACACACACACACACACACACACACACACACACACACACACACACACACACACACACACACACACACACACACACACACACACACACACACACACACACACACACACATGCACGTCGCTATATAAGTGCAATAATCTTGGACGCGACGTTAAACCCCATTTCACCACCACTCTAACCCGGAAGACACATAGGGCTGTGTTGTAAGACTGGTCCCTTGAAGTTTTTATCTGTTTTGAAAGAAAAATGAAATAGGAATTACCAGAGCTGTAGACATTCAATACAGATACAAAATCAGTTGTCTCAAGAAGTGTGATAATAAATAAATGTTAGCAGTTGGATTAATGAAAGCATTATGGAGAGAATAATGAAATATTAAATAAGTACATGCAGACTGGGAACCTGGGTTTGTTACCATTTCTTTAATAACATTTCATGCTGTAACTGTTTAATTTAACCTAGGTGATATGATCTACCATGGTAGAGACATCTAGTTCCACAGGATCGTCATGGGAACTCCATCTTGTTTCAGAGAGAACAGTGTGATATTGGCTGATGAGATGGGGCTGGGAAAGACTATCCAGATTATTGGCTTCCTGTCCCTTCTCTTCAACAACTACCAACTTTACGGCCCCTTTATCCTGGTGGTTCCCTTGTCTACAGTGGTTGCTTGGCAACGGGAGCTCCAGAACTGGGCGCCAGAGATGAATGTTATCACCTACCTTGGTGATATCAACAGTCGAAACATGGTATGTTATTAATTATGGCTGATATAAATGGTCTAAGGATTTTGTCTGACGATGAGCTCTATGAATCTTTTCTCATTCCATAAGTTCAAATTGATGCATTGACTATTTCTGCTTGGTGTTCAGTTATAGTTAAGATGTGATTTGTCATAGTTTGAACAATGGCTGTGTGGAGAATAGGGCTGCAACAAATACACTATGAGGCGAATAGGGTAATGAGTACGAATACTAATTCACGAATACAATAATAAGTCTGCAGTTGATGTATAATTTGTCATATTCAGTGAAACATTAACAACAGAAATTATTTGACATGGTTTGTTAAGTTTCTATATTATACATTTATATGCTGCACTTGTCCAGGTACTTAGTCTTAGTATCTGCTCAAATGCTACAATGACCAGTGACCAAATTCCTGTCAAATTTAATATTATAAGAGTGTTGTCTTTAAAGAAATCTATGCATATCATATGTTCTTATGGATGTTTTAGGTACAGGTAAATGCACATGATTGCATATTCATAAATATTCAATTCTTGTGGCCACAAATAACGAATTCAATTCATGAGTGGAGAAATGGTAAAATAAGATGATACTTGTTCTTAAAGATTCGGGACTATGAATGGTACCATCCCAACAGCAAGAGGTTAAAGTTCAATGTCCTGGTCACAACATATGAAATATTGTTAAAAGACAAGGTAAGTAATATATGACATTTTTTTTTCCAATGATATATATGATTGTGAATGGTAATGTGTCATGTCGGTGCAAATGAAGAAAAATTAGGATCATGAGTGTGATGTGATATAAGGGAGAGAACTCTCTCACTGTGAAGTGCTTATAATTCTATGTTAATACATGAATCAGATGTTTGTTTTGTTTGTTGTTTAATGTCTCATTCAGCAATAAATCAGATGTTATAAGTGTAGTATTGTTGTGTGATGTAGCCATGTGTTTCTATGGTAATGTGTGAAAGTGATTAGAATGTTGATTATGTCAACAACATTTACTTGAAGCAGCAAGTTCTGTTGTCTATCACTAACAAAGCATATGCTACTACTGTGCCCATTCACATTAGGGATCACAGCTTGAAGCCAAATAAATTCATATGCTAAAAGGATTAATATTCCATTTACACTATTTGACGAGGTTCATACAGGCTTGAAAAGACCCGTGAAGATCCGGGGTAGAATAGATCTTCAGCAACCCATGCTTGCCATAAAAGGCATTCAGTAACAACCTTGAAAATCACCAAAATAGCTTGGAAAGCCTTGAATTTGTACAAAGTGACATATACTTATTTATGAAAGAACTAAAATTTAGAACTTGTTTTATTATATTTGTTGGTTGTGAAAATAAAACTTGTTGTAAAAATGTGTGATGTTCATATTGCTTTTTAGGTCTTACGATTATGTAAAGTATGCAGGATTAAAAAAAATATTGTAACACTAAGGCTAATAATCCAACTTAAAAAGCCTTGAAAGTGACAGTTGAAAAGCCTCGGAAAGGCCTTAAATTTTAGTGTTGATATCTTTATGAACCTTGTTTTAGGGTTGTCCTGGTACTGTATTATGTGGGTGCTATGTATGTCGGATATATTACAGCCTCCCCAGGATGTTCTCAACGCCAGCTACATCAGGATGTTCTTTGTTAAACCAGTCTTTCTTAGGTAGTCATCAATGGGCTTTCCTCGGTGTGGACGAAGCACATCGACTGAAAAATGATGACTCCATGCTGTACAAATGTTTAAAAGACTTCGACACAAATAATCGCATCCTCATCACAGGAACACCACTCCAGAACTCTCTCAAGGAACTCTGGTCTCTCCTTCATTTCATCATGCCAGAAAAGTAAGAACCAGAGAATCAGATGGAAATATTTTCTGTACTTTTGCCAGTTGCATCAGTTAAACAAGTTGTTGCAGTTTGTTACCAGACTACCACTAAGAAATACTTTATATTTGTTTACAGTATCAACTGATTCACATGTGACAATTGCAAAATAACACTAGTTATTGAACATGTTGAAAAATAATTAATGAAGTTTTGGCAGGTAGAGAGATGGGGGTTTTCATAGTTGTACAGCTTTTAAGTTAGGAACCACACTCACTTTTAAGAAGAAACGTTGATCATTAGCCTATTGTTTCACGATTTCCTTAGGTTTGACCGCTGGTCTGACTTTGAGTTGAAGCATTCCAAAGCTGACAAGACAGGTTTTGCAGCTCTCCACCGAGAACTCGAACCCTATCTCATACGTCGAGTGAAGAAGGATGTAGAAAAGTCATTGCCAGCCAAAGTAAGTTTAGAAACAGTGTACTATTTGAAATTTGTTTTTGACTCATCTGAAACTAAAAGTGCTGATTATTTACATTGAATATTACTGTGTTGGTATTTAGAACGTATCTTATAGATATTACTTGCATTGTGTTCCAAAGCCTGGAGGCCCGCGGAGATCCGGGGTAGAATAGGTCTTCAGCAACCAATACTTGCTGTAAAAGGTGACTATGCTTGACGTATAAGGCGACTATGCTTGTCGTAAAAGGCGACTAAAGGGATCGGTTGGTCAGGCTCGCTGACTTGGTTGATGCATGTCATCGATCCCAATTGCGTGGATCGATGCTCATGATATTAATCACTGGATTGTCTGGTCCAGACTCGATTATTTACAGACCACCGTCATAGCTGGAATCTTGCTGAGTGCGGCGTCAAACAACAAACCAACCAACCAACCAATCCAAAGCCTGGACATCCAATATGGTTAATTTATGTTCTAAAAATATTAATCGAAGTAGTACTTGGCAATTAGTACTGAACAGATAACATGAACATCCATGATTGTTAGGGGTCATGTGCGGCCAGATGGTACAGAATCTGTGGTGGTACAGATTGTTTAGCCGTGCCAGGACCGCTGATCGTTGGGTCAATTTGTTATCCTTGGTTTGCCAGCACCATACTGTGTTCCTCCACTCACTCACTCACTCAGTCACCTATGTTTGTTTCAGGTGGAACAAATTCTGCGAGTGGAGATGTCGTCAATACAGAAGCAGTACTACAAGTGAGCAAAACCTACACAAGGTGTTATAAAATTCACCTTCAGAATATTTTGACGAAATTTCCCATTGTTGAAAAGATTTGTTATAGATGTGAGAAAATTCCACACATATAGTTTATATTCTTGTGATTACGTCCAATTTCCTGCTATAGGTTCTGTGACACTTCATTTTATTTACAGATGGATTTTGACGAAAAACTATCGAGCGCTAAGCAGAGGTCTGAAGGGAAATGTTAGCAGTTTTGTAAACATCATCATGGAGTTAAAAAAGTGCTGTAACCATGCAGAACTGACACGCCCCCCAGAGGAAGAGGTTGCCCAAGATCGGTTGATGGTGAGTAATTTAAAAAATGTCAACAATATTCCAGATACACATTTGCTCTGGAGGCCATTATAAGTCCTAAAGTAAGATGCATGTTGGAAAATTGCTGACCTTGCAAGTACACTACTTGATAGGGATCCACCTTGACTGAAGATGACTTTGATCCTGTGGAGTTTTCTAGATGATTCAGAGAATATGATTCGAAATCCATACCTTGACTTGTGTTTACGACCAGTGATTGTTTTTGTGCAGAGACTGTTGCGGGGGAGTGGCAAGATGCTGCTGCTGGACAAGCTGTTGACTCGGTTGAAAGAAACGGGCCATCGGGTGCTGATATTCTCCCAGATGGTCCGGATGTTGGACATCATTGCAGAGTATCTGCAGTACAAGCGCTTTCATTATCAGGTAAGTTTTCCATCACTAGAGACTATTATGACATGGATCTTCAGATCAGCTGATGTGTAACTTGGCGGCCATCTCTTGAATGCGATCTGCAAAGAGTGAATTAGTGGACTAGGGAAAGCCGGTATAACCGAGTCTTAAATGGATTGTCCCATGTACAATGCTGGAGCACACTACGACCTCACAAGGCTTCTTGACTGGCTTCTTAGATTTTTTGGTAGTCTTCTTAGCCATGGATTTACTCTCTGAATCCTTTGATTTGGAATTCCTGGCCATCTCCCTACGCCGAAAGTCACAACACTTGTGCGGGTCGGATGGTGAAAACATCTGTCTGCCAGGCAAAGCTGGGCAAAGTGTTTCTTTGTCGTCCATCATCACTTATTAGCATAGAAAACTATATAGTTGTAAGGTAGTGAAACCACAAAAAAACCAACTGTATTCTCTGAAATGCAAGTGCGTTCGTGTGGCGATTAGAAAGGTAATGTTTTGGCAGGGGTAAGTATGTAAGCTTGGGTAGGTCACAGTGCACATGATTTCAGCACAGGGCTCTATTGTTAAGGCGATGACCATTGTGATCCTGGAATGTGTTTGGGTTTTCACAAGGATTTAAAGAAGGAAGAGATAGGATCAGTATTATAAATATACAATTTATTTTAACAGTTACAATTTGTTTTCTTTGGAAGTATTTATTTTGGGAAAGAGAGACTGAAATTTCGATATATTATTTTTCAGAGACTAGATGGGTCTATACGTGGTGAACTCAGGAAACAAGCCATGGACCACTTCAACGCAGAAAACTCTCAGGTGAGGAGTGGTGGTCACCTCAAACATAGACTTTACTCAGTCATATGTACAGCTTAATGTAGAAAGAAAATTGTTAAGAGAGATAAGAATTTTTCTGTAATTTGATGTTCGCTGGTCCGATAACCGTTGTGTATTGTTCCAGGATTTCTGTTTCCTGTTGTCAACACGAGCAGGAGGGCTGGGTGTGAACCTGGCAACAGCTGATACTGTGATCATATTTGACAGCGACTGGAACCCACAGAACGACCTGCAGGCACAGGCCCGCGCCCACAGAATAGGCCAGAAGAACCAGGTGAGGGATTGCATGATGCTAGGCATCGGTTGTCAACATGTTGAGGACAGACATTCTTTTAAAACCCTTTTTCTCTTTTACCTGACATGCCGTGAACCTTGCATAGTTTGTAACATTGAAAGTAGCTTAGTGATGTTGGTTTTGCCATGTGGGTGGGTGTGGTCCAAGCTGCTTCAGTTTCTGTGCAGCCTCCACTGATCGAGTGTTTGAATTTCGGATTTGATGGTGTTGATCCTTGGTGTATCAATACCTTTGTCTATTAACTTCACCCACTTTGTAAACAAGACCTGCATGGCATTGGTCCTCCCACATGAAGCTGGACCCATGATGATCCGGGTAGAGAATAGGCAACTGGCAACTATGCTTTCATAAGAGACGACGAATGGGATCGGGTGGTCAGGCTTGCTGACTTTGTTGATACATGTCAGAATAGGACCTCAGCAACCCATGCTTGCTGTAACAGGCGAATGTTTTTATCGTAAGAGGCGGCTAACAGGATCAGGCTCACTGACTTGGTTGATGCAATGTCATTGTATTGAAATTGCGTAGATCGATGCTCATGATATCAATCTCTGGACCGGATTCGATTATTTACAGACCATCGTCATATAGCTGGATTATTGGCAAGTGCGGCATTAAACAACAACCAGATCAAGATGAGATATCATGATACTACCAAAATATTGTTCGAAAAGGGAACTCACCCTTGCATGCATTCTGTTATTTTAAGGTTAGCGTGTATCGCCTGGTCAACAAGAACAGTGTGGAGGAGACTATTGTGGAGCGTGCCAAAAAGAAGATGGTCCTTGATCATCTTGTCATCCAGAGAATGGACACCACCGGCCGAACTGTGCTCAACAAGGGAGCTGCCCCATCTAGGTAGGAACACAAGGGATTTGCTGCAGTATCTGTACAACCTGGATAGACTTGAAGTCTTACACAGTTAGTAGATCAGGAGAGATTCCAATTGTACCCACTTGTTCAGTCTTATTTTGTGCATCCTGGGTTCAAGATTATCCATTTCAAGAACCTACATGTGAAGACCAGGGTTAGAATGTCTTCAGCAACCTATGCTTGTCATAAGTGGTGACTAACAGCATCGGGTGGTCAGACTCGCCATCCAAGTTGATGCATGTCATCATATCCCAATTGTGTCGATCAATGCTCATGATGTCAATCACTGGATTATCTGGTCCAAACTTGAATATTTGCAGACAGCTTGCATATAGCTGGAATATTGCTAAGCGATATGACATTTCTGAAAACGGTCACTTGTAAGGATGTTTTTGTTTAGTTGCAGTAACTCAACCCCATTCAACAAGGAGGAGCTGGCAGCCATATTGAAGTTTGGTGCAGAGGAGTTGTTCAAGGAGATGGATGAAGATGAGGAGGAACCTCAGGTATATACACATCCGGATGTCAGTGCAGACTGAGCAGCTTGATGACTTGCTGGTGTTGGGAGATTAATTTCAGCGTAAATTCCACAAGATGGATGAAGTGGGTGTATGAATGTTGTTTAATGCTCAAAATCGCTGCTTTTTCACCATGAATTGAATAAGGCAATTGTATTCTGAGGTAAGTTGACTTATAATTACCCAAAATGATAATGTTTTGGGGATTTTGCCACTGTTGACAGCCCATGCTTATTAAAAAAAGTCATGGTGACAAAGTGGTGATGTTGCAACATTCATACACCCTTTTCCTACAACTTACTAGAATCGTATGTGATGATTTTATTTTGAAACCTGAATACCCAGACAGCATGAAAAATTGTTTTATTTTCATCTTGCTAAAGAAAAGAAAGATTCAACTTTTTTAACTTGTGCAGTTGTCAAAATGATGTTGTTGATTGTAGGTGGACATTGATGACATCCTCAACCGAGCCGAGACACACGAGACTGACACATCATCCGTAGGTGATGAACTCCTCTCACAGTTCAAGGTGGTCAGTTTTGAAACAATGGAAGAAGAACAACCACCAGATGACCCAGGTGATTATAAGACCAACACACCTGTGCCGATAGTAATTTTCATGTCTGTCCTTCTGTTACCAATCTTTGTAATCCTACCATACGTACGGTAAGGTTGAACTTGGGCCCTAATCGCTTCACCGAATGAAAGCAGTTATACTCAAGAGAAGTCGTCACGATCCACAATATTAATCTAGATGTTTAGCTTCTCAAAGACATGAGTGGGCATTTTGGACTTTCATCCCACCTTTCAAAGCAGCAATAAACCAACTTCACCTACTCCCTCCCACCTGAGAAGATCTGGGGTAGAATAGGTCTTCAGCAACCCATGCTTGCCGTAACAGGCGACTATTTTAGTCATAAGAGGCGTCTAACGGGATCGGGCTCACTGGCTTGTTTGATGCATGTCATTGGAGCACAATTCCGATGCTCATGATGTCAATCACTGGATTGTCGGGTTCAGACTCGATTATGTGAAGACTGCCGTCATATAGCTGGAATATTGCTGAGTGCAGGATTAAACAAAATACTCTGTCCCTCTCCAAGACATGTGGTTGATGGTCAGCATGTTCCTGTTGGCAGGTCGGGTGTGGGACAACATCATCCCGGAGAAGGACCGGAAGAAGGTGGAGGAGGAGGAGAGGCAGCAGCAGCTGCTTGAGCTACATCTGCCACCGCGCAGTCGCAAGACTATACAGCAGGTCAGTAGGCTGATGACAGTAGATGCACATCCTCTCTCCGAGTACTGAGAATTAAGGGGTGTAAGCTCAACCCTGTGAATAATAATCAATTTCATGAAGTTGAAATTGGTGATGCAGTGATAGAAATTGCCACTAGTCCTATTGTCCTTACCAAACTGCCCATCAGTTATGTTTTTTTAAGGACCAGTAGAAATTTGCGTTTTTTACAGGTTTTACTATATGTTATCATTATAAGGACTAGCGGACTACATATATTAGTTTCTATCGCTGGTGATGTTGATGTTTTGAACTGTTAATTTCTAAACCATCATAGTTCCATCTTTGACATCATGATTGTTTATAACAGTAATACAATGCCCTGCTTTGTTGCAGTGGTAGGAAGTAGATGTTTTAGTGTCGCCTAAAAATGGCAGAAAAATTTTACCACTTCTGTTACCTTTCCATTAGACAAGCTAGGAGGTTCATGCAAATTTCTGTCCCGTCGTTGAGGATACTTATGAAATAGGAAAAGGCTACTACTGGTTTGATTAGTGGAAGACATTGACACTTTTATCAAGTGTTGACCCAGGTCATTCCTCTGGCTGTTGCAGCTGCAGATGGAGTATGATTCTGATGGAGAGAAGAAAAAACGGAAGAAGCGTGAGGTCGAGGAATCGGAGGGCAGTGATGAGGATGAAGATGAGGACAAACCCAGACGGAGAGGAAGACCTCGCACTGTCAACAAGGATGCTGTGAAGGGATTTACTGATGCAGAAATTAGGAGATTTGTTAAAAGCTTTAAGAAGTTCGGAGATCCTTTAACAAGGTAACAATAGAAATTGTTAGTAACATTGTAGTTTACACTTTGATGCTGCCCTGCTTTCAAAGAATGTGCAACATTGTCAGTCTGATGGCCATTGGACATGTGGTCAGTATGGGTAGCCAGTATTAAACATGATGCCACTTTTGATGCTATTTGTTATAATCATTTTTGATGTTCTTCAGAAATATATTTATACAATATCATAATATGACAGCATCATTAAACAAATGTTGATTTTGTTTTTAGAATAACAATTGTTAAAAAGTTGTCACTGATTTTGGATAAGAGGACTAATTAGTGAACATGTCTTGATGATATGAATTATGCTTTTATGCTTTGTGAATTCAAATTATTCATAACATTGTCTCACTGTCACTGTCTTCAGACTGGATGCCATTGCCTGTGATGGAGAATTGCAAGAGAAGTCTGAGGCTGACTTGAAACGTTTGGCGGAGATGTTGATCAAGCACTGCAGTGAAACAATTGAGGAGAGCAAGAACAAGCAGGCTGAGGAGACACAACCCGAAGGTGAGGCTTGGACACAATCATCTCGCAGAAATATCGCTCTGTTTTTATCTCTTTAAGTATCCTACATCTAAAAGCTGTAGAGTACTGATATTCATGTTTTCTTTGGTTGTTTTTTGTATGTATGTAGTACATAGTCTGTGAACTAGGGTATAATGAAGACTGGTATTGCAGGTGGCAAGAAGGCTCACAGCCGTGGGCCAACATTCAAGCTGTCCGGAGTGATGGTCAACTGCAACTCCCTGGTCAAGGCGCAGCAGGAGTTGGAGCCCCTGGCTAAGGAAGTACCTGCTGAGAAAGCGGAGAGGAAGAGGTAAGCTCAGACTTTGTGATAATTACAAAATCATGAATATTATGAAAGATGGAGATAACAGCTTTGGTTGAATGGGCTTGCCTGTATATGATTAATTAACAGAATCGTACTATGGGTTATGTGTAATTATCGTTTTGGAAATTTTTGACAGAATTGATCCCCAGTACCTATGATTGTCTTAACAGTGGACCCAACTTGGAATCAGGGTTTCACTGTACATGCAGTGGTAGAAACTGGCATGTTTTGTCCACTAGTCCTTATAATGATAACTTATAGCAAGACCCTTAGAAATGGCAAATTTCTTCTAGTCCTTATGATACTTTTACTATTGGGCAGTTTGGCAAGGACTCGACTAGTGCCAATTTCTGATCCTGTGCATGGCCACTGATAGTGTGGAATGATGTTTGCTATCATCCACTTGTTTTTCCCAACTTTAATATTTACATGCCTCCACCATTGTGGCTGTATTGCCGACTGCTGGACGAAGACAACTGACACCCACTCCTGTAGTTACCCGTCTGTCTGTGAAGCCGATGTAGGCTGCTAGCCCGAGATGAGGACTGAGCGTGAGATGGGGATGCTCTCTCAGTGAGTCGTGTTCCCGTGTTGCAGGTATCAGATGGACATGTATGTAAAGAAGGTGCACTGGGATTGCCTGTGGGACATTGAGGATGACTCCAACCTGTTGAAGGGGGTCTACGAATATGGCATGGGCAGCTGGGAGGCCATCAAGATGGACCCAGAACTCTCGCTCCATCAAAAGGTATGCCACAGTTCTACTGATGATATGAACATTGGATTTGGTACAGGAAGAACCTGTGCCTACCTGCTTCTTGGCATATTTTTGGTGCTGTAGAATGTTTTCCTGCCATGTCTTTGAGTATCATTTTAATCGAAGCTTTGGTGTCGGTGAAGTCACATGCTTGATAAGGTTATGGCAGCTGTGCCAAAATGTTGCATTGAATAAAGAAGTTGAATTCCACAAGTCAACTTTATTTTTTTCCTTCATTTGTTACAAGCCAATTCACACTGATCCATTGACAACCGCCTCCATGGTCTAGTGGATAGAGCATCTGCTGGAGAGTGGAAGGTTGGTGGTTCAATCCCCGGCCTCGTCAAACCAAAAGACATTAAATGATGGTATTTGATGTTTCTCTGCCTGGCGCTCGGCATAAGGGGATAAAAACTGACTTGTCAGCTCAGCGTTTGTACACTGCAGCATAGCATCACTAAAGAGCCAATACTGGTTTCAGACTAGTACAAGCCGCCACACCCAAATGCACATCCGTCGCAATATAAGTGCAATTATGATGAACTAGGCATTAAACCCTGTTACACCTCGCCTCCCCTGATCCATGGACCAGGGTAATATTGTACTGCATGGAGCGTGAACTGAGCGTGAACTGAGCGTGAGGTTAGTGCATTAAGATAACATACAACACTATAAGTGGTATTTCTGTAATTTGTGGCGGTTGATGATTGTATGGTAAAAGATCAAGGCTATTTATTGGTGTGTTTATGTTCCAGATTCTTCCTGGTGAAGACATGAAACCACAGGGCAAGCACCTCCAGACGAGAGTTGAGTACCTGCTGAAGATACTGAAGAAGAAGACGGAGAAGAACAATATTATTGTAAGAGTTACAGTACATTTGTCTTCTTTTCATTTCTGTTATTAGACCTTAATTCGTTTCAGACTACAGAATCTGTTTCTCAGGTCAATGTCAATTACGGGCAGGTGGGGTAACCTAGTGGTAAAGCGTTTGCTCGTCATGTTGAAGGCCCAGGTTTGATTCCCCACATGGGTACAATGTGTGACGCCCATTTCTGGTGTCCACTGACGTGATATTGCTAAAAGCGCCATAAAACCTCACTCACTCACTCACTGTTATGATACTCTTCGTTAGGAAAATGTCTTGGTACAAGGAGAACTTCTTTATGTACGATTTGGTATTTATGACAGTTCATGCATAATACTCTTCGTTTTCTTCCATTTGAATTCTTAGTAGTCTAGTTTGTTCAATGATTTATGTATAAGTAGTTATTCAGTTCACTCAATGGAGGTTCAAGAACTGAAATTGTATCGTGCAGTAGAAATAAGTAAGCAGTGAAACAAATTTCACATTCCAGCCAACAAAAGCAAAAACAAAAACATCCAAACGTCAAAGGAAACCCAAATCAAAACCTGAAATCATAGAAAATGACTTCAGCAGCTCAGATGAGAACTCCATGAAGTCATCAGTTAAAGCTTTGAAGGAAGAGATGAATGACAGCATCCCTGCAAGTCCCAGGAAGGCCCACAAGGGCTCGGAGGAGAAGGAGGTCAAGCAGGTGAAGCAGGAGGCTGAGGGGGATGTCAAGAACGAGGAGGAAGACGATGATGAAGAGGTTGAGGAGGGGGAGATTAAGAAGAAGAAGAAGAAAGTCAAGAAAGAGAAAAAGGAAAAGAAAGAGAAAAAGGAAAAAAAGAAAAAGGATAAAGATAAGGAAAACCTGGAGCGACATGACCGCGAGAAGTCTGAGGACAAGAAGGAGGAGAAGAAGAGTAAGAATAAGAAGGTACTGGTTATGATAGAACAAATATCTTGGAGGCAAGAATTGTTGTCATTGACAAATTTCTTTGTGAGAGATTGAAGGCATTTGGTCATGTTGGTTGTTTTGAACTTGAAGTATATAATACATTGTAAAAATTACACTTCTCAATCATAAAAGTAAAATAAAAAATGCCTGTGTTACACAAGAGCAAGGGTCTTTTCTTAATCTTGTATGCGTAATGAAGTTTCAAAAGTGTCGAGTTTTGACTGAAAGTCACCTGTTAGTCTTTAGTGTTGATGCGAAAAATATTTGAATATCAATGCTGACACATACTCTTTGTAAGCGTCTTTGTTGACACTTTACACTGTTGACTGCAGATGAGCTACATTTCCGTGAACTGTGTTTTATTATTTATTTGAATACAACCATGTACGCCAAGGAGACATTTGTAGTCCAACTCTAGAATATGTGTTTGTTTTCTTTGCTGTTTGCAGAAGAATAAAGATGGGGCGGGGCCTATGCACTTCACTGCCAACTCAGAACCTATCTCTGTCTCACAAGATGAGTCGGGCCTAGAGCTCACAAAGGAAATCTTCGCTCAGGTTTGTATTTCAGACTTCAGGGAGAATATCAAGACATGTTTATTCAGAGAACAGAGCACCAAATGTTGCATTGTATGAATAGGACATTAGTACAGGAGGCTATCAAACAAGAAAATAATTTTGCCCATTACTGCAGCCAGTGTTTGAGTACTGAATGAATTCATATAAACAAAACCTGATTACAGTGTAGGGAGTCTGTTGATTTGCTCACCAAGGAGTGCAGTTTGTAGAGTGGCATTTTGATGTCAAAATGGTCTATGAATTGAGTCCAGCTCACGTGCTGTTTGTCCTCTGTGTTTTCAGTGTAAGGAGAAGATGCGACCGGTGAAGCGAGCCCTGAAGGAGTTGGACAACCCCGAGGAAGGCTTGTCCGAGAAGGAGCAGATCATGCATATGCGGCAATGCTTGCTGAAGATCGGGGACCAGATCAGCAAGTGTCTCGTCAACATGAGCAACCCAGAGATCATCAAGCAGTGGAGGAAGTAAGTAATCTGGGGGCACAGGGCCATGATTTGCTGTGCAGAGTTGTGTCCCTTGGGCACACCAGAAACCTGTGATTGTGGGTCCGAAACCCGGTTCATCCCAATTATATTTCTAGGTTTGTCAACGCCATAACAGTGCTCGAGGGTTTCACCCAAGTGGTGAACGTTTGAAACCCGCATCACTTCGGGCTTTCCCCCCACATTAAGCTAACACGCCGTGATATAACTGGAATAATGTTAAAAGCGGCGTTAAACCAAACATACTCCCTTACTGGTGGCAAGTACATTTCAATTTTCAACTGGATCAAAGAAATATGTTTCCTTATGTGCATGTCTTGATGACTGAGTTATGCTGACCTCCTCCGTGGTCTAGTGGTAGAGCATCTGCCCGGAGAGCGGAAGGTCCAGGGGTCAAAACCCTGGCCGCGTCATACCAAAAGACATTAACAGATGGTACTTGTTGTTACCCTGTCTGGCGCACGGCATTAAGGGACTAAAACAAGGACTGGTCGGCTCGGAGTCATTATACTGTGTGTGATTGGGGTATTCATGTTAAACAGCTGCATAGTATCTCAGTGGGCTAGCACTATAAATCTGCATCAGTCCGGACTAGTACAAGCAGCCACACACACACATGTGCATGCACATCGCTATATAAGTGCAATAATCTTGGACGTGATGTTAAGCCCCATTTCACCTCACCTCACCAGAGTTATGCCATTTCAACATGTTTGTACATGAATGTAGTTCCAATCTCAAACATCTTCACGTTTTTTCAGCAATCTTTGGATTTTTGTGTCAAAGTTCACCGAGCTGGATCCCATCAAACTCCACAAACTTTACAAACATGCTGTCAAGAAGCGAGATGGCAACAAGGACACTGTGCCTGCAACAGACGAAGTGAGTGTTGTACTCTATTAATAGTACTACTTTGGACTCTCGAGCCATGTAGGTGCACAGTGCAGCTGGCATCAGTGACACCAGCAAGGAAGAGCATTTGGTTTTGGGTAGACACATTATGAAACGCCTTTCTAAGAATGTTTAAGGTTTATTAACACTTATTTTGGCTCTATTTGTAAATAAACAAGAATTATTCATAAACATTGTCAGTTTCAACTGGAGACGAGGCCTACCATTCTGTATGAAATATGTGGCAGCATGAGGTTGGATGTAAATATTGTCATTGTAAAGCGGTGACTAGATCTGCATGTGATGTATTCCAGTTCCACCCTGAGAGTTCCAACTCCAATCTGTCTCAGTCATCCCTTGGAAACAGCCACAAGTCCAGTTCCAAGCGGCCGTTTGAGAAGCTTGGGGAAGCGGGAAAGAGAGATCAACCTCCATCTAAAAAATCCCATAGCTCAGAACAAAAAGACAAGAATAAGGACAGGTAACCATAACTTTAAAGAGATAGAAAATTCCAAGTAATGTGATTACAGGTTACTGTTGATGACAAATGTGAAGAACTTGATGAATCGACTGTTCGTACTCACATCTGTAGGAGCCGTACTGTAAGATACAGTGCTTACCAAAGTATGGTCTGCTAGTGATATATTCCCACCTCACCCAGAGTTAAGCTCCATAAGAGATTTACGTTCTCTATGACTGTCTTTATATTGACAGCGTTGTACATAATGGCCCGAAGCACGGCAGCAGCAGTAGTTCCAGTCACACGTCATCATTCCGCAATACTTTCAGCAGTGTGAAGGAGTCCTCACGTGTAGAGAGTGGCAACTCGAGTCCCGCTGACAGGTGGCAGCATGCTAGTCCATTAGCTCGAGCAGAGGATGTCCCCAGAAACAGGTGAGTTTGGACATGGCGCCTATCGTCTCGCTGTCACACCTATCTACCTGCTTTACTCGAGAAAGCTTACATAAGGACTAGTTCTGGTCCCAGTGGAGTTCCAGGTTAGAAATGGTCTTCAGCAACCCTTGCTTGTTAGCTAACCGGGTCCAAAGGACCAAGGTGAGCTTATTCCATACCGTGGCGTCCGTCGTCTGTATGTCACATTGTCAGCAATTTATTCAAATGACTTTTTCTGAACCACTAATTGGAAATTAACAAAATTTGACTGGAAGCATCCCTAGGTGGTGGGGATTCAAAATTGTACAAATGGAGGTGCTGTCCCTCCAAGGGGCTGAGGGGCAGGGCCAAATAGGAGTAATTTGGCTATACTTTAAGCGACTTTTTCTCAGGAACTACAGGATGGACATCAATCATATTTAGTAGGAAGTATTCTCAGGTGATTGGAAATCACAATTGTAAAACGGAGGGCTGCACTTAACTTGGACACAGTAAAGATCCCCACCGTACAACCATATGTACAATTGCTGAGTATAATGAGAGGAATGCACATATGCTACCAGGAATGGCCCTTCTATTCATCCGTCTGGCACTCCCAAGAGAGTTAGAACCTTTACCATAACATGCAAACCAATATTATCCCCACCCTATAATAAACAAATACACTGTATACATTTGTTTGTTATGAAGAGAATAATACATTTATGCCAATAGGATTCGCCTAGCGTCCAGCCTTGCCTCTGGAAACTTTGATCATGGATCATAACATGGAAACAGTTCAGATCTTTATGCAACATTTGTATCTTGAGTTATATTGCTGTCAGATTCATGCTGTCAGATGTGAATCCACCCATTTTAACAGTCAAAATTACTAAATATTTGCAGTATTATATACATGTACAATGTATATGTATATTTTGTCCTGATTGGGTAAATATTCAGGTGAGCGATACAGGCCCTTTGGGTCTCTTGTTGTAAGAGGCATCTTGCAGGGTCGGGTGATCAGGCTTGTTGACTTGGTTGATGCATGTCATTGTATCCAATTTGCGTAGATCAATGCTCGATCGATCAATCGTAGATGATGTCAGTCACTGGATTGTCTGGTCTAGATACCAGGTCCAAGTTTGTGTAAGAAAAAATACATGTATTACCCTTGCTCTCACTCCGGAAATACTCGAAGTCAGACACTCGGTATGACGGTATGACACGCTTGCTCGTATGATGATCTCAATAACTTCATGAGTAGTGTGAGCTGCAGGGCAATGTGGCTGTATTTATTGAGTCTTTGACTAGCATGTGTTTCAAACATAAATGTGATACATGTGTATGTCTGGAAGAAGATTGGCAACTGCAGTGTTAGTGATGCTGTGATTGGGTACATATATCAGTGGTTGGAATATTAATCTCTGTGGCTTTATTCACACTTTGAACCTTGACCGTCCTCACAGTTACATGATTTTTGACAGGTACAATGAAGGCAGCGCGAGTTCATACAACCGTTACAATGAACTTCATCGTCCGCATCACAGCAATGACAGTAAACAAGATGCATATCACAGGTAACATTTTCAGTTGTGTCAAACAAGTTACAGAACACCCACAACTGGAAGGCTATGTTTTGCAAAACCCAACATCCATGACAGATTAAATATAGTCATAACAGAAAATCAGTGTTCTTCAGCCTCTTTTGAGTGGTATACTGAACAAAAACTGTAGGAGTCATAAATATTCTTGGAGATTTGCTTTTGTAGTGAAGACACACAATTTCATGACAATATCTAAAAAATATCAAGAATCCATGACTTTTTGTTTGTTCCTTGTATACATATTAAATCTTAAATGCCATTATTGTTTTCTTCTATCTGAAATTAGGGTGTAATAATTTACCATCATATTTCGTAGTTATCCGTCAAATGGCTGCATGGAATAAAATGATGTTGCAGATTGTAGCATTATACGCTCACTCATGCATTACAACCACATCTTCAGATGCTGTGATGAACTGGAATACTGCTCAAAGTGACATTAAACTCAGCTCACTCCACATCCTAGGCTAGCGATGGGGCGGACATTTCTCTGACACAATAACTGCCTGGTTTACATTGTAGTTGTCTGACTTCAGGTACAATAATGACCGGCACTCAAGCAGTGGGCGGAGCAGTCATCAAGGGGGATCAGGATACCACCGTCATGAATGGGGAGGAGGCGGTGGTGGCGGCGGCGATGGTCGCCAGTCCAACTACCGCTCAGACCACCACCGCAATGACCACTATCGTCCAGAATACGGCCACCACTACAGAGAACATGATGGTCACTACCAGAGACAAGGGGATGACTGGGGGACAAGGTCAGTTCAGCATTCCGGCCATATAAATTTATTTCTTTAAAGACTAGTCCAGAGGACTGGTGGAAACCTCATTTTGCTTTTCCTCACAATGTGTGGCTTGTCTTGCTTGAATGAGACAAATTATTTTACCATATTTACATCTATCAGTTTTATTCAGTTGCACTTAGCAGAAGAGTTGAAGCTTTGAGAACTGGTTCCAATTTATAGCCCTCAAATGCTACTTGTCGTTGAGGACTACCATCATTTTACTTGTTCACAGCACAGTCTAGTAGTGCAGGGCTTTTATCCCTTTCATTTATTTTCCTATTTACCCATATATCTTGGGTTCATCTCTAGTTGTAGTTATAAGAACAGAGTTCATCCATCAGCTTCTCAGTGGGAAAATGTTTCTCAAAAACTATTTAAGGTAGAGAAATGAGAAATTTTACACACCGATGTTACTGGTCATGATCTCAAATGAGTACGAAAATTGGTGTCTTAAAATCACACTTTACAGAGTTAGTGCCCTTGCTCCTTACTGGCTCAACTTGGCACTCGCTGCGTGAAATGGGGACATGTTTTCTCAGAAACTACTGAAGTTACATGAATGATAATTTGCATGCTTATCTAAGAGATCCTTGTCAAGACTGAGTTTGAAAATTGTGCCATAAATTATACTTTTCCAGAGTTACATCCCTTGCTACATGTTTTTAGATGCACAGTTAAGGCCCTTGATGAAGGTTATTTCTATTCAGTACATAGTGTCTGCAACGTGGAAAGTAAAATCAGATTTTCTCATGACAAAATGCCATCCCAGTGCTTGTCTCTTCTTAAGGATATATAGGACTCTTGTTTTATAGTAAACATTAACTTCCATGTGCCCTATAGCGGGGGATAGTGATAACGCAGTTTTCTTGTTTGTAGTGTCCTTATACATTGATTTTGAAAATGCCAAGCAATGTATGACTTTTCATACCTGTCTACTCAAATTCTTATTGTATGAGTTTTGATGTTTCTTCCCAACCGAGATTATTAGATGTTATTAGAAGTTATAAGATCACATGGTGATTGTACCAGCTATTGGCACCGACACAGTGTGTGTGTGTGTCAGAAGGTTTGGAAATATTTTTTCAAAGACTGACAGCTAGTAGCAAAATTACACATGAGCCTTGAATAAATTGAGTAAAAATAAGATATGCCCCAAACCACAGCTACCGTGTCATTTGAGACACCATTCTTTTAGGGCAAACACTGATGTATAAAATGTTGAACATGAGTTATTGAGTTTCAATAACAAGATCACTAATTTTTACAAGTGCTGAGATGTTATGGAGGCTCGCTACCATCAGACTATTGATTTATCTTCTCCAATAGACCTTCAAGGTGTAGGTAGTTGGTAGCTTCTTCCACTCGTTGAAACCATGGCTGTTTTATCCTCCAGAGCGGCCTGGTCAATCAACAACCTCTTGTTACTAATGAGGTGAGATGTATCAGGTTTACTTTAGTTATACTACCAAGCCTTTTGTTTCTCAACCTTGGAGCAAGGTTTTATTCACATGGGATTTTGTGGATTTTGCTTTCATACGTAGGGCTGAGATTTAAATTTTAAATGTTAAAAATCAGTAAACTCATTCTGTAGTGTCATCTGCAAATTATGTATTTGACTTTAATCACATTTTAATCTGTCATATTGTTGGGTAATACCCAAGTTCCTTCAGCCCTAAGTATGGAAATATCCTATTTTGGTCTTTGGTTTACCTTGTTTTGTTCAGAGGGCCTGGACTTGTGTGTATGGCAGGGATAATGGTGGAATGGTTGCTTTTGTTATCGTTGTAAGAATATCATAAATATGTTAAAATTCACAAATTTGTCATAACCTCATTAAAATGTGTCCGATCATAAGATTAGTGGTAAGCTGTGGAGGAATTCATGGTTACAGGGTTTCTAATACTGTGAATAAGGATAATGTGTAGCAGTCAATTTGTTGTGTAATACATTCTTATGTGCTTGTTAATACACAAAGTGTAAAATCAGAGCCAATGTTTCCTGGAGAGTAGGACCCAATACAGTTCCCTCAAATGTTTTCCTATGTTTCAGGAAGCGCAAGAGTGATGAGCATTCTGATCGACGTTCTCACAAAGACCCACGGCTTGACCAGAACCGTTCTTCCACCTCCGTGCACACTGAATCTAGTCAGTCCAAGCACTGATACTGGCTGTTGCTAGTAGATCTGACTCACAGAGCTGACTCAAGGACAGAGAACTCCGTGAGGAATGCCCTGTGTCTTGTGCTACGTGAGCTCAATATGGCGTTCCCACACAGGGTGCTTCCATGGTCGGGATCATTTTCTACCACATACATTCCTGCGGCCATCATGAGAGAAAGTTGATGTCACTTCCTTGGAGGGTTTAAATGTTGAGTGGTGTGGTAAATGCTGCCTTATATACAGAGAAACCAGTGAGAATGTGTCGTGCCTGTGTGTTGTGGGACTTGAGTGTGGCAGTGTCTTGACACCCTTGCTGTCCTCTCAGCAGCCAAGTATTCCTTGCTTCAGACTTGTGGACAATGTGTAGCAATTCAGCATCCAAAGATCTTCCAGTATTTTACTGATCACCTTTTCAAGAATGTCCATAATATACGAAGATCTGTTTAGAATCAGTCCCACACAGCATCTTCATTTGAATGTTCCCATGTTTGTGTTTCCCGAAGCCAGTACAGGGACTGTTGAAAGCTCAGAAGTTCTTAACACTGCCCATACTTGTATATTGAAACATAGATTTGACATGTCTCACGTCTTATACCTACCTGTTCATGGAATGAGTCAGCAGCCATGCAGTAGGGGTGTCATTGATTGGAATGTTTAGTATCAATATATTGATTCAAGCATCACAATCAAAGTGTCTAGTATCCCTATCTTGCAGTGATCTTGGAACTTCAGTAAATGGTTCTTAGATATGGTGAAACCTCAGTAGCCTGCACACCCTGCCTTCTAGACAATCTTGTTTGGAAAGTCTATTAGAATCCAAAGGAACAAGACACCCTATCAGTGATTTGGTCTTCTGGAACTGTGTTCATCCACGAGGCTTCATTGTACCTAAGAGACAGATACACTAATGCATCTGTCTAGTTGTAATATGAGCTCACACACAGGACATTAACTGTTCTTCCGTTCTGTCGCCATGGCACTTAGATCCTGCATCAACGTGACATGGTGAGGGCTGCGGTCCAACTCTTCCTTTGCTTATAGTAGCTGGTCAGAAGGATATGTTTTTTTCACTTTGCCAAAAAGCGCTTTATAGTGTTAAGTGTTACGAAGGCCAGAGATTGTTTCCAGACTTGTGCTGCAGATTCCTCACAAGAGAAATATTTCTCCCAGTTCGCTTTTTTGTTAAAACAAGTCAAGTAATGTGGTATATCTTAAGATTCTAAATGACTGATGAAACCAATACCAAAGGTGTATTTTGCCTTTTTGAGAAGTTATTGTATTCTCTTTTTATCTGAGGTCAAAAATGTATTTGCTGAGTAACAAATCGTCATCACCTTTGTTGATGTCTAGAGACATCTTAAATTGTTTGAAAGATAGTGTTATTTTCAGGCACAAGCTAAGAATCAAGGAGTACATGTAGAATTCTAAACTTCAGAACTTGAATCAGATCTACCAACTCTCACGTCTAATTTTATTGTATCAATTACATCTGAGAGAAAACTATTTCACAGTTGTTTGACATACACTTGACCCCTAAGTCATGTTGTTTGCACTTCATTTTGGAGAGAGTTTGGGCTTCACAAACGTGCAGCTTGTGTTTCACTTTTGTAAGCTCTTCATTTGCTGGACATATGGATAAGTTTGTATTTATTTTTAGCTCACCTGATAGAAAGTCAAATGAGCTAATATCTGGCCTGCTTGTCTGGTGTCAAGCATAAGTCGTCTGGCTTCAACATCTTGTAAAAACAACCTATATTGTAAAAGCTATTTATGGCCATTTTTTCCCAAAATGTAATGAAATTTGGCAATTTTTTAGTTAGTTGGGGAGTCAACACTACAGTCTCCTTATGATAAGTATTGTTCAAATGATTTAGACTTTTGTTAGTTTTTCCTCTTGCCAAAATATTTAAATATCAACACTGACATCAGCTTTTGTTGGGTGTCTCTCTTTGTTGACATTTATGTGTCCAGGTGAGCTACAGTGCTGTGACACTATTTTTGTATTTGATGATTTGCAGGATAAGGCCGTGGTATTTAATGTAAGAGAATGTTATGTTGGAAGGGAAAAGCAATGTAGATAAAGGAGATTTATTTTTTTGAAGTTTTGGTCACACTGAAGATGCACACTTGTCTTTCAGGCGCAATGGCTTTGTACAGATGTAGCACAGCATGACACAATGTGGACACATTGTTGCTGGTTGTTTTCACAGCAGCATGTGTAACAGCTTGTCAGGCTAGCTGAATAATTTTCACTTGGAGCACTTCAGTAAAATGTTGAGCAATACATAGAGTGAGCACCCAGAACCATTGCATTTGAACATGGGATACGTCGGGTGGGAAGATTGAACAGTTACATCTCAGGGTGTTGGTCATTATCCATAGTAACCATTGCTGCACATGAGTCAACATTCAACAGTCTTTTGAATGTAATGAAGACCTGTTTCTACAGTCTGTTCCTCGAGATATGCGTATGTCTTGTTACAAGAACTGTCTGAATCTCGTCTTGCATCACAATGACATTGAAGATATTCTTCCTGTTTACATATGTGTAGCACATCATATCATTGTCTATGCAAAGCGCATATTTCCATCATCATCGTCGTCATCGTCATCGTCATAGTCACCGCCATTACCACCCATGCTCATGGCATTACTTAACTGTGGCCTCACAGGATGCAGTTCTTTAGTTGCCCTTTCTGTTTTGGTTACTGATACGATTAATGGAGTTAGATGTTAATGATTGTGTATCCAGTGTTAGGATATGAGGAACATGTTAGACAAGGCTAACATGGACTGAGAGTTATGATGCTACAACATGGGTAATTCAAATGATAGTTTAAGGTCAAATATTAGATCTTTCACAGATAATGTGTTGGAATATGTTCAAATGTTTGTTACCATGGTGACTGTTGATAGTGCTCAGGCAGTACCAACACAGGTATCAGGTTGATCCTGAAGACTGTACAGATGTACAAATGGCTTAATTTATGATCAGAGCACATTTACTCTTTTTCGAAGTAATTTTACCATGAAATGCATATCCATGAAGCAACCATTCCAAGTCATCTTCCTGAGGCAAGGGAGTTAACGACTGTAAAACTCCAGTGGAAACTGGAGGTTTATATTCGGTTAATTCCCTTGCATCTGGAAGATGATTCCAAGTAAGTTCAAGTATTTTAATCCATGATCATCCCCATGTTTCCATGCATTTACCCAACACACCATGAATCATTTCCTGTATTTCACAGGCTTCATACATTGACATTGTTTGCGTCATTGTTGATCACATTGTCTTTCTCTGTACAATTTCAGTTGTTAAGTATTTGGTTTCTATATTTGATTTTGTTGACATCAGTTCCACTGTATGTTCAAATGCCTAAGAGTGAATTATGTTTGTGTATGAGGAAAGAAATGTGATAATGTACTGTGTGCTGTACAGTGTGTTAAATAACACAAAACTATCTGTAAATTGTATGTATGTATATAGTGTAAAATATGCAAAGTAATGAAAATAAAATTGTGAATTTTGTCCCTCTATTGTCTTCTGTATAGATGTTTGTTTCACAGTGTCTTCAAAGTTTAATCTTGGTATAGATTCAGGTTTCCATGAACAAAGGGATATATGGTATGATCGTGACATTCCAGGCTATCCTTCTAAAACAAAACACACGAAACCTGATTTTTGGCATGGAAAGTAACTGATTTACTGCACATCTGAACACTTGGTGAGTTATGCCACACTGGAAACAGGAAGGACCAGGGTCCTGAGAACTTGATATATCGTGTGTCCACTGTCTGTGTTACTGGCTGGCACCTCTTGGTCATGGACGAGTACAGGTACTTTGGGTGGGGACTGTTCCCCCCTGGCTGCTGCTAGCTCATTTTCCCGAGGCAAGAGAGTTAACTGAATGTATTCCAGTTTCCACCATTGCCGAACTAGGTCTTAATTTCTGGTCAATTAGATTCCACCTCTCATATCACTTACATTTGCTTTATACTAAATGATGGCCCCCCAGTGAAGACGATCTGATCGATAATCAAGATCTACCTTGTAATAAAATGGGACTTATTTCGCAAAGTGCATCAAATCATTTGGAAAATATCTGTTGACACTATGTTGATGGAACACATGCTTTGACTAATCCCGCAATTGACCACATTCTGCATGGCGTTACGAACCAGATGTCGATTTGTTACCTGATTTTGATTGGACTATGCATAGATTTGTTAGTCCAGCCAAAATATAACGCCATAATTCAAGCCCACTTCGGTTAAGGATGAAAACTGGACTTTCATAGTCCGTTAACTCCCTTCGATGCTCATGACATTAATCACTGGATTGTCTGGTCCAGACTCGATTATTTACAGACCGCCGTCATATAGCTGGAATATTGCTGAGTGCGGCGTTAAACAACCAACCAACCAACCAACCAACCCTTGCCTGGGAAGATGATGCTACATGGTATGAACACTTGCTGTTGAGGTTTTTGCTATCAGTGATGGAGATGGCTGATCACATCATCACCTTGCCACTGTTAAGTTTGTTAATGTCCTGAATGCACTTGGTGGCAAAATGTTCATGGCAGTGCACCCTGGCTTGCAGAAATCGTTGCTCATTGCTGAACCAAGCAGTTCTCCATCACTGGTTAGCTCTTCTTCTGTAGGCTTGACACCACTGGCGTGGCAATTGACAATGTTGGTGCGTTAAGACTACTTGGAGGCCCACCTCAAAGGCTGCTGATTTTGTGTACTCGTATCCAAGTGATTTAGTCCTATGAAGCGGTTCCTGAGTCATAGAATACCTTGGCTTCAGCCAGCTGCGGTTCTGCAGCTTCCAAACGTGCGATGATGATGTTCTGTAGTGCTTCGGTCGGTCATGGTTAACCAGCTGCTAACAACCTGTTGGAAACCCCTATTTTTCTAGGCATATGCATAATGTACATGTGCATCGATCCTGTTTTTCTGATCTTTTACATTACAGGTGGATTATGCATTTGGTCGTTGCTGCATTTTGATGATTCCAAAGACATTATTAATTTGCTTCCAGAAGACCTGTCCATACTCCATATATTGTTTATGTGGTGATGTCTTTCTTACATGTATAACCGCATCACCCAGTTTCTCTATGGGGTTTGTGAGTTCATGGAGTTGCACACAGTCAGTTCAGTCTGCTGTGCATGTTGCTGAATGCGGCATTTAACAACAAACTGTGTTATGGATATGAGCTAATCCGTGTATTGCAGAATAGAAAACTCAAATTGAAATATTTATGATTTTTACATCCAGGGATTTGTAGTTGAACCACTAAGTGCAGTTTTGTAGTCAAGAGGAAAATATTTATCCAGCCCAAAACAAACAATGGAACATTCTATAAAGAACAGTTCTTAATGTCCTTTGCAAGTCCAGGTATCTAACAAGGGAGATAATTCATCCTTGTGACCACTGGGAAGTGCAAAGGTCATGATTGCGTACTTCCTGTTTCGGCCCTGGACCATGTGTTTTGATTGACTGGAGGAATCCATGGAAGAGTTGTTGGTTAGAGGAGTGCTGACTTCAACACAGACTTGCACAAGTCTCTAAGGCAATAATTATTGGGTTAAAACATAATTTCTTTATTATATAAATAATAAGAACAAGTTGTCCTGTTTAATTATGAACTTTCATCATTGGTCTCTTATAATTACTAGCTAAACAAAACAGGTTACACTGGCATGGTTGGAGGATGGTTATATCAATATTGATGGATTTCATACTTTGTTAAATTTTGAAGACAAGTTGTGTATACACAAGTTCAGCAAGTGACTGTGGAATTTATATATATTTGAATTTAAATTTTTATTAAATTCCTAGGCAAGTCGAGATCAAACTCAACAAGGTCTGGTTTCCTTGATTTCACAACTCCAACAAATGACCATAGATGTCAATTGTTAAGTTATGAGGAGATGCTTTGTTACACCATGGTTTTGCTCAGTAATATGATCTGCATTATTTGTCCTCAAGATCATCTACCCCGACCCCTCAGCCCCCCGACTACCCTCGGTCCTCCCATCCTTCACTTCTTCAAGCCCTTGGAGCATGTAATAAAAGTACATCAGTGGACAGTGGGACCTAGGCTAACGCTTGGTCTATGAAAATGTTTCTTTAAAATAATTGTAATTTATTGTTTTCAAAAGAACCTTTCCTCCTCTGCTGTTGGAATCAAGGAAACTGGACTTGGTAAGTTTGTTGCCTAGGCTTTTGGTAGTGTATCTATCTATCTATCCATCCATCCATCCATCCATGTCCGTCCATCCGTCCGTCCGTCCATCCATCCGTCCGTCCGTCCGTCCATCCATCCATCCATCCACCCATCCATTCATCCATCCATCTACCACAGTCATGGCGCAGGACTAGGGAGACCACACAGAGCAACATGGGCATTGGACATGCAGGAATATGTGCTGCCATTTCTTATAAATAAATTGCAAATATGATGGAAAATAAAAACCAAAATCAAACCTCGAAAAGAAAACTATAAGTGTTCAAATACAATAAGATATCAGGAAAATAACTAGCCTACATTCCATTTGAAATCTTGATGTCAGGTTTTAAACTCTTCCATATTTTATTAAAAGATGGGTGAATTTATTTGTCTTAAAATTATTTTTCTCTTGTTTGCTAGTCACCTGTTGGTTATTAGTCATCAGCTGTCACCATGTGGCGTGACCCAGGGTAAGGAACAGCACAAGTCTGTAAATGGAATGTACTCTGGTAACTTCAAACATCACAATCTCAAACCCCAGCAAATTCCAACAACTGGAGGACATGGTACACACAGTTCCAGGGTGATAGTCATACTGTTACCATTACATCAAAGGGCAGTGCTACTACCACAGTTGGGACTAACAAGACTCATTTGACTACTACTGTGTTTGAAATGTTGTACATTTGTGATTTTCGAGGGTAAGATGTCTATGATACACATCAGCAATTGTGTATTATGCAAAAATAATTAAGTATTAAATCAAATTATATTTCGAAACAATAAAAGCATGTAGAAGTATTCTTTGAGTGCTGAATATTGCTGACTTACTATTTTCTATTGAAAATCAAACTTGATAAAATTATCTGAGAAGTGTAGTTTCTTTTGCCCCCAAAATAATAATAATAATAATAATAATAATAATAATAATAGTGGTGGTGATGATGATGATGATGATGTGAGGTGAGGTGAGGTGAGGTGATATTGGGTTTAACGTTGTGTCCAAGATTATTGCACTTATATAGCGACGTGCATGCACTGTGTGTGTTTGTGTGGCTGCTTGTACTAGTCCGAATGATGCCGATTTATAGTGCTACCTCACTGAGATACCATGCTGCAGTTTAACATGAATACCCCACTCAGACACAGTATACTGACTCCGAGCTGACCAGTCCTTGTTTGAGCCCCTTAATGCAAAGCGCCAGACAGGGTAACAACAAGTACCATCTTTTAACGTCTTTTGGTATGACGCGGTCGGGGATGATGATGATGATGATGATGATTTGTACAGCACCGAATCCATCCTTAAGCATGCTCAAAGCCCTGACATTCTTGTTTTCATGAATTGACCTTGTCAGGGGTAATTATTTGTATAATTTGTGATCCCAGTATTGGTGTCTCGAAATACTACTGCCCACACAATTCAGATCTCATATGCAGTATGTTTGTTGTATCCTTCATAACTCAATATTGTATATTCATCTTGGCCACAAGTTCAGTCTTTGATCTAATTTTGTCCCTCTTCTCAACCAGTCATGTGTGTATTTTGTGTACAGGGTGTTAATGAAGTCAGGATATACAGTAAAGTATGGTTATAACAAACCCAAAGGGACCACTTTAACTGGCTACCTTTGTTTGTTTGTTTGTTTGTTGTTGTTTAACACTGCACTCATAAATATTCCGGGTATATGAGTGTGGCCGAGTTGATTTTATTGCTATTTTGTAAATATTTTAGTAAAGTCTTTTAATTGTCTCGTTTCTGTTTTAGCCTGTTTCTGTCTCAAGCTAGATTACTTGAGCAGTATGAAAACAACAACAATTAGACTAGCTCCAGTACTTACATAACTACTAACATAACAATAGCCACTTTCACCTATACAGTCACCAACAGCACAAGCGTCTTGCTTTGTTTTCCTTCCCAGCTTCTGTGTTATGTAAGTAAAAGGTTTCTTCTGTTTTTTGCTGACTTTGCTAAATTAGTTGGTCACTTAAACTTGAAGGATATCAGTGGTTCTTTGGACTGGATTTCAAATCAGTGGACGATATATTTGTGTTCAGGATCTCTATAAGGTTAGTTTGTGTTTGGTTCATATTTATGTATCTTGTAGATATGTCTGTGTATTTAGTTTTATGAATTAGATGCATTAAGGTAATGCATTGATTGCTAATTATATATATTTTATAATATATCTATATATGTCAAACTGAAAATAGTTTAAAAACATAAACTAGTACTTCATCATAAGTATACATGTTATCTCGATATCTTCAGATATTCCATACCTTCC